CAACGAGGTCGGCCGCAGCAGCAGAGGCAACAGAGGGCAAAAGGGGGGAGGCGGAACACCCCTCAAAGATGGGGGTGCGAGGGTCACCACGAGAGGCTCCTACAACTACTATGCTCTTCTTTGCTGCTAGGAGGGCCTTCTCGAGGAGGTCAACGGTGAGAGTGGTGGGGCAAACTGAGAGGAAGTGGTCCCTGACTACGCGAAGGGAGTCAGGGAGCCGGGTGACTATGTAGTAGGGGGTGATGTACATGGGGGGGGGGGTTCTTGGCGCAGAACTCAGCAGGAAGCGCAGCGCGGTAGAGAGTGTCACTAGTGCGCAGGTGCGTAATGAGGTCAGCGACTGTGGGAAAGGCACCAAGGTCAGGGAAGAGGTACGGTAGCATGAGGCGGCTCAGTGCAGCAGTGGCAGGGGAGGAGTAGCGTGCAACTACAGCGTCGTACAAGGTCTGAGCACTCTTGTACTGACTAAAGTGCGCACGCTCAGAGGTAGGCAGGTGGCGACGCACAGCAAGACGTGCAGCAGCATCGCGTGTGGCCCACTGTGAGCGAATAGTGGCGTCGGCATCAGCAGCAGGGGCAGGAGAGGCACCAGAGGTGAGGTCAAAGAGGGAGAGACCGTCTGCCCTATCGCACTGTAGGAAAAGCTGCAGGTCATCTACCGAGACGTCAAAGTCAATGGCCCGACCCTCAGCGTCAAAAGCGAGGACACTAGGGGTAGCCATGACAGCAGTAGACTAGCAGCGCGAACAGTAGGGTAAGGGCAGTGCACTGACAAAGGCGCTGCTCTTACCGGACAGGGCGGCTCGGGCGGCTCGGCGGCTCGGCGGCTCGGCGGCTTGGCAACTGGGCGGCTCGGCGACTGGGCGGCTCGGCGGCTCGGCTCGGGCGGCTCGGCTGCTCGGCGGCTCGGCTGCTGGGCGGCTCGGCTGTTGGCGGCTCGGCTGCTGGGCGGCTCGGCGGCTCGGCTGCTAGGCGGCCCGGCGGCTCGGCGGCTAGGCGGCTCGGCTGCTGGGCGGCTCGGCGGCTCGGCTGCTCGGCGGCTCGGCTGCTGGGCGGCTGTGCCGCTAAGGAAGGCGGGGCCGCGAAGGGCGGCGGGGCCGCTGAAGTGAGCGGCGAGGGGGCCGCAGAGGAGGCGGCGGGAGGGCCGCTGAAGGGGCGGCGTCGAGGCCGCTGCAGGAGTGGCGACGGGGCCACTGAAGAAGGCGGCGGGGCCGCTGAAAGGGCGGCGACGGGCCGTAAGGGGAGGACGGCGACGGGGCCGCTGTAAGGGCGGCGACGGGGCCGCTGTAAGGGCAGCGACGAGGCCGCTGTAAGGGCTGCGATGGGCCGTAAGGGGAGGGCGGCGACGGGCCCTAAGGGGAGGGCGGCGACGGGGCCGCTGCAAGGGCTGCGACGGGGCCGCTGTAAGGGCGGCGACGGGGCCGCAGGTGAAAGGGCGGCGACGAGCCACACGGGGAGGGCGGCGATGGGCCGCTGAGGGCGGTACGACGGGGCCGCAAAAGGGGCGGCGCGACGGGGCCACGAAGGGGCGGCGCGACGCGGCCGCGAAGGGCGGCGCGACGGAACCGCTAAGGGCGGCGCGACGGGCCGCTAAGGGCGACGCGACGGGGCCGCTAGGGAAGGCGCGACCCTAAGCGCGCTTCGGGCAGGGGCGGGACACGCCCCGGGCAGGAAAAAAAAGTCGGTGGGCCCTAGGAACAGTTCCTACTAGGGAACCTGCTCGATACCATGAGAAAAGAGAATGATTGGACTATGAAAGAGTTGGGTACAAGTACTAACCCTAATTGGGTTGTACCCCTTATGGGCTACCCCACTACAGCCTACACTAATGTATAAGCTATAATGTTCTGACACCGCTAAGGGCAGGGGACGCAACGAGAGGGCGGCCCACAGGGCGCGCCTCGGGCAGGGGCGACTCGCGCTATGGGCAGAATTTTTTTTTTTTTTTCGATTTTTAGTGGTGGGCCCTAGGAAGCGTTCCCACTAGGGAACCTGCTCTATACCATGTGAAGAAATGAGGAATGATTTACTAAGGGAAAGGTTGGGTACAAATACAAACCCTAGAAATGTGTTGTACCCCATATGTGCTACCCCACTATAGCCTACATAGGCTAAGTCATATAAGTCTGACATATTTCAGCTGCAGGAGTGGAAATAGACCCGAAGAAAATTGCGACGATTCAAGCATGGCACGTGCCGACCAACTTGACCGAGTTGCAGAGTTTTTTGGGGTTCGTCAACTACGTGCGCCGGTTCGTCCCCGACATGGAGAAGCTGACTGCCCCGCTGACAGACCTGCTGAGGAAGGGGGTTGAGTACACATGGGGGGAGAAAGAGCAAGCTGCCTTCTCGGCCCTCAAAAACATTTTGTGCTCACCGTCCGTGCTGTACATCGCAGATCCACACCGTCCGTTCGAGCTCGTCACTGAGGCAAGTGACATCGCTGTGGGAGCAGTACTGTTGCAGGATTTCGGGAACGGCCTCCAGCCAATCGCGTACGAGTCCCGCAAGCTGCACCCGCCCGAACGCAACTACCCGATACACGACCGCGAAATGTTGGCGGTCGTGCACGCGTTCAAGGTTTGGCCGTGTTACCTGACTGGCGCCGACGTGACAATACGGACAGACCACCGATCACTACAGTACCTACGCGCCCAACCAAATCTCAATCCGCGACAGATTCGCTAGTTGGACTTCCTCGAGTCCAACTTCCACTACACGATTACGTACAAGAAAGGCGCCTCCAACATCGCCGACGCACTCACTCGCCCTACCGCCCAACTCTATGCCATCCTACTCGCCCAAACCAACCCGCTTTTAACAGGCCTATTCACCCACGGATACCGCACCGACCCGATTTCACGACCGGAAATTCACAGCAGCTGGCAGAAGCTAAAGGAGTTTATTACGTAAAAACAGGCACCAACCGCATCTGGGTACCCGCGTACTCACTACTGAGGGAGTTGCTACTGTAGGAGGCACACGACGGAATTACCTCGGGACATTTCGGGGTAGAAAAACGCGACAGCAACTGCAGCGGTATTACTACTGGCCGGAGCTGTTGACCGACGTGCAGCAGCACGTGGGCTCATGCCCCACGTGTCAGGTGATGAAGAGCTCGAGGAAGCGGAAGGCGGGTCAATTGCAGCCGATACCACCGCCCGAGCGCGCCTGGCAGCAGGTTACCATGGACTTCGTCACAAGGTTACCTTCGAACCCTCGGGGTAACGACGCGGTGATGGTCGTCGTTGACAGGTTGACGAAGATGGCACACATCGCTGCGTGCAAAAAGTCGATCTCAGCCGAGGAGACCGCTCGTCTGTTCATCGCAGCCGTTGTTCGCCTGCACGGGATACCAGCAGCGATTATCAGCGACAGGGACACGAAGTTTACCAGCAACTTCTGGAAGAACCTCTAGTTCAGGACCAGGCTACAGTTCAGTTCGTCGTATCACCCCGAGACCGACGATCAAACGGAGCGGACGAATCAGACGATGGAGCAGTTAATTCGTGCCACGTGCGACGACCCCACGACTTGGGAGCAGCAGCTGCCGCTGATCGAGTTCACGTACAACAACGCCACGTCAGCAACGACGCAGCAGTCCCCCTTCTACCTAAACTACGGGCAAAATCCTACAGTGCCCATGACGCCGAGTCCGGACAACCCAACACCACGCGCACAGCAATTCGCTGAAATTCTGCAAGCTGCCCGCACCAGAGCCGCAGAAGCAATTAAAAAAGCAAACGTCATCGCTAAGTGCAACGCTGACCGCCACCACCGCCAAGTCACACACCAGTCAGGGATTACGTACTGCTCAACACGCAAAATCTGCGACTGCCCGACATACCAAAACTTCGACCGCGCTATTGTGGCCCATTCCAAATCAGCCACATGATTACGCCAGTAACCGCGCACCTACTGTTACCGACCGACTGGTACATCAGCCCTTCGTTCCACGTCAGCTTGCTTCGCCCATACATCCCAACCACAAGCCAACTGCTTCGCCACCGCCCGCCATCCATGACTCGCCCTGCATCAGAGCCGATCATCGAACCCGAAAAAATCCCGAGTCATCGGATTCGCCACCCCACGGGAATCAGGAGGATTGAATTCCTCGTTCGCTGGAAGGACCGCACACCAACTGAAGATAGCTGGGTGCCCCTGGCCAACATTGAAAACCACCCTGCCCTGCAAGTGTACCTGAGGAGCCGGGGATTCCGCGATATACATGCACCCGCGTAGCGGAGGGGGCTTCTTGAGGGGGGGGGGGGGGGGGGGGGGGGGGGGGTAGTGTAAGGAATTTTCTCGGCATTCCTTACGGAGCCCGACTACATCGCGTACAGCAACAGCCGTTGTTCGCCCGTTACTGCTAACGGGACTTCGCCAACTTCGCTCGCACTGTTTTGCCAAACCTCGCACTGCTGACCCGGCCGTGTCGGCCTACGCTTCGGGACTAGCCCGAGCCTCGCTGCCAGCATAGCACTAGCTAGCTCGCACGCACCGCGTTACCGTTTGCATGTTTCGCGTATAAATGTTCGCTCATGCCTTCGCTTACATCTTTGTACTCGTTTGACACCTTAGTGCAATTCTTGCTACTTCGATTCATTGCACCCGTAACAGTGCTTTACACTTCCAGCTCTCGCCCTAATTGGATACTAACTGCAAACTCAAACAAATCCAAGCTCGATTAAGATGAACGAACTATATACTGATAACGACTCTAAGCTGCGTACATTTTCCATCAAACGGCAAATCGGCCAATTTCCTCCACGCCTTCTCTTCTTCCACCCACGCCTGCAAATCGCCCTTTCCCCGTCCACCCAACCTAGAGCCCCCCACAGACACCACCAATCCTCCATCCAAGACCGCTAAATGCCGAAGACCCCCACCGTTCCTCCACGAAGATATGATCTTCTTGGCGAGATCAGCTCTCCAACCGGGAATCCCAAGGCCTAAGGACGTTACAATGTCTGCTGTTTTGCTGCTGCTGTAGATTTCTTTTAGCGAGGACGGCTGGGACCAGGAGTGGGTGGACGGATGGAAAGAGATAATAGAGGGTTCTAGAGAGGGGAGGAGTGCGCCTGAGAAGATGTGCCAGTCGCCGTTGAGAGCAAAGGAGAGATGAGGAGAGCTGCCAAGGAAAAACAAAAACAGAAACATTTTTTTGAGAAACAAAAAGACGGGAGAATTATAAGACAATGCGAATCATGTGGGGTTACTTGAGCGGGAAGCTTTCAATGAGGGAGTGGGTGAGTGGATGGAGCATTGCCGCACCAGGCAGGGCATGAGGGAGAAGGCAGCTCCGTCCATGTCCACTTGCTGGTTGCTCCCCTCCCTGCCTGCCATCTCGACTCTCCCTCTCCCTCCAGATCCCCTCCACTTTCTCGTTCTCCTCCTCCAGATCCCTCTCTGTCTCCCTCCTCCTCCCCCTCTTCCTCCTCCTCTTCCCCCTCCTTCTCCTCCACCCAAGCTTCTCGTGCCTCCCACCACACCTCCTCCTCACTTTCTTCTGCCATCCCACCATCCGAACCACTGCCCTGCACTCGAAAATTCTGTACCTTCTTTACCACATACCCATTCATGCCGTTACTCCTCTTCACCCTCCATCCCCCTTTCTCTCCGCCCCCTCCGCCCCCTCCACTTCGTCCACTATCCGCTCCCCTCTCCCCTACCCCTTCCCCTTCCCCTCCCGAGTCCCCACCCCCCTCTGCCCCCCCCACCTCTTCACTCAGCCGCATCGCAACCACCTCGCCAGGCCGTGAAGACACACCCATGTACACGCACCGACTAATCACCGACGAGAACAGCACCACCTTCCCGTGCGCACCAATCGTGTCGCTCAGCTTCAGCTGACGTGGGAACGGAGGGCCCTCGCTCCAACGACCAGTGGACGAGTCAAACACTGCCACCTGGAAGGAAAAAAAGAGCTGTTCAACTCAAGAGAAATTACCTCATTTTCTGTAATAAAAATTACATCTATAATATTTTTTTTCGGCAGAGAAGACAGCACATATTTGTTTCTGCAACTTTGGTGATGTGTCATGCAAAGACGCGGCACCTTGTTGACGTGGCAGAAGGGGTAGGAGCCCCCCGAGTCATCGTCGGTGCCGAACGCGAGGAGGTAGCGACCCACCACCTCCACACACCGCACGAAGCGTGGCCCGCGCCATGGCAGGGCGAACCAGCGTGATAGCACTGCAGTAAGAAAGAAGAGACAAGAGCAACAAGGAAAGACATCTTGGGGGCCGAATCCTTGAGAAAAAAACACGAGAAACAATTAGTGTGCGAGGTGCTGTGTGTTGCGAGATAGCGCTTGGCGAGTAGGCGAACCAGTGAGGGCTGCGCAGAGGGATCAGCCAGCTCCCCGTGGCCCCAGGTGAATGCCCCAAGTGACTGCCCCAGGTGACTGCCCTACGTGCTGAGCCATCTAGAAACAAGTCCCGAGGTGCGAGCGAGTACCTGGCGAGTAGGCGAACCAGTGAGGGCTGCGCAGAGGGATGAGGTGCAGCCAGCTCTCCGTGGCGCCCAGGTTACTCCTCTGCCTGGTCGGAGAGAGACGCGGGAGATGCGGGAGATGCGGGAGATGCGGGGGATGGGGAAGATGGGTTAGATGAGGGGGGTGCGGGAGATTAGCAGGAGGGGATGATAGAGAGGAGTCTCGAACGAGGCATTATAACCACAAAGAGAGGAGGGTGATGGCTCGGAGGGCTTTGGGCCACGGAATAAGAGCGTCACTTGAATTGACGTCAATTCAAGAGGTGCTTTTCAAAATAGTTCCAATTCGTAGTGCGTAAGTCGTTCGTTGTTAACTCGTGGCGAGTATCAGTAGCAGTTGCATAGTACTAGTGATAAATTTCGGTCGTCGAATCTCACGTGTACAGCTCGGACCCTTCGATTGCGGCGTGCCAACTCCTACAGACCAGCTTGAGAGATCCATAGAGGCCACGTGGCACGCGAGCCAAGCATGACAGTGCCACGTCATCCGGCAAGCCTGGTAGTAGGCAGCCGCCGACAACGGTGGCCATGTCGCACAGACGAGAACCAGCAGGTTGAAATAAGGGGGAAAACGATTTTTACTGTGTGTTCACCCTAACGGATGGGCACTGCGCGGGCTGTAATACTTCGTCTCTAGGTTTCGGAAGTCAGAGCTGTGGCTTCATAATTGGAGGAATTTCAAGCATCTACCGAATTAGTTCAGTGGTCGCAGATTTGGTGACTTTTGGCTCGATACAGCACTCTGCGACAGAGTTACATTCGAATTCTTAAATATGTTGAATAAGGTTGACAATTCGCCTCCATATCAGCAGAAGTTTCCGATCACTGTGCCCCACGTTCACGGCACAACCCCGCGAATCCAGCATTCTCCGCACGCAGGCTTCACGGCAGAGCCTTCAGAAAGTTTTCTCCACGCGTGCAGCATGCCCGCACCGTCAAGAGAATTTTTTCGTGGCTGTCCACACGTGGCGGTCCATTTTCGGAATGTTCCCTCCCCCTAAAAGGGAAAAGATCATATTAGGGCCGAAGAGTGCCAGAGAGGTGATCGAAGTAGGGCCAAAAAATATAGACCGTAGGATTTCAACCCGGAGCTGACCAAACGACTCGGCGAACACGCCGAACCATGAGTAAAAGAAATTGCTAAAACGAAACAGTTCTCGTGTTCATTTTCGTTTTTGACGGTTTTGACCGACGTCTACTACAGCGCGCGCGTCGCCTTCTTCTGGAATAAAACATTCGACGTGTCAAATCGTGTGTACGTAACAACATAATATATTCTGGGTGTTACATGTCACCTAGTTGATCGGAAACGCACGGAAAAAAAAAAGTACCCATTGGGAAACGGATGCGACTCGGGAGGCATCAACCCTAAAAACCAGGAAGGTCCCCTCTTTTAGGCTTGATCCATCCCGAAATTGCATCCAGGTTCCCTACGAGTTTTAGTTTGTTTTGGCTGCCCAAGAGTTCCCGGTTGAGTCGGCTCGCTAAACGACACGCATGCGAAAACGCGAGCCGGTCCATGCCACTAGTAACATATTTACGTGCAATAAACAAGGACCTCTTGTTAATCACGCCTCGCGACCTGGTTTGGTAATTTTCGGGCCTCTCGGCCCCTGGTCGATCACCCCTCTGGCACTGATCGGCCCCTGTATGATCTTCTCCCCCCCTGAAACACAGTCGCCATTACCACCCCTTAATTACCGCCACTTGGCAGGTAACGACTGGTGCCTTGAATTTCAAACCTTTAAATGGGGTCTCAAAGTTGAGCTGTGTTCCGGCGATGCTGATGAAAGACAATCTCTAGGGGTATTTCGTTTTCTTGAAGTGGTAACTCTAATCTAACGGTCCGATTTTACGCTAAGCCGCTGTTACACGATGAAGTTTAATAACAGCGACACTGAAAGTGCTACCTTTATGCAACCTGTACGATTGAACAGCACAGGCCATACGGGCCCTAGCAATTCATGGTTCCTCTGTGGAAGTCCAATACAGCTCCCTATTTTATCACTTCACTTCATGGCCCTAATCTAAATAGCAGTCTCTCGTCTTCCTGACGACGAACATGCAGAACATCATTATCCTTGATCCAAGTTTCTGACCCTAGGGGTACATGCTTGCTTAGCTCGTAGCGAACTTGATGTCTCAGTTGTAAGAATCGTGAATTAGACCTATAGTTAGAAGATTAAGGATAGAGTTAGGGATATAGATTTCAGGATGGGGGCGTACTTGACGCATCCAATAACGGATAAAGAGTCGGAGAATGGCGAGGACGATCGCATACGGTATGCAGCCGCGTCAATGCAAGGCTGGCGAATGACAATGGAGGACGCAGTAAGTTTTCTTAACGCACCTTAAACCATCAGTGGGAGACGCGGTTAGCGTCGTATTCACAGCAACTCTTTCGTCGCTTTCTTCGCTTTGCCATTCTCAGTATTTGTCAGTCGGTTTTACCAGAAAGTGTTGTTTCGCTTTCGCGTTCGTCCATGCAACCACCTGTCGTAACAGCACGCCTTTGTCGCTTTGTCTTGATGCGCTTACCCTCTCTAACAGCACGCCGCGGTGCTGGATACTAACGGGGATGGACGGCCAGAGGTGTTCGCTGTTTTCGACGGTCACGGGGGTAAGCTCACATGCTTCCCTATGCCCATTCACGTGTAGCGGGACGTCTCGAAACGAGTCCCGTTTCCGTCGTATGTATCTCTCGCGTAGAACACTTCGGTCGCCCTTTCGAAGCACCGCCGTAGCACATTCTTATTGCAGGTCGCACAGTTATTTGACCCTCTCTCTCTCTCTCCCCCCCTCGCCACATGTTCCCGCGGAAGGCAACGAGATGGCAGCGTTCTGCGGTCGGCACCTACCAGCGCAGCTGGTTATAGACTCAACTCAGAATACTCCGTTTCAACCCCTCCACTCCGCTTCTCCCCCGCTTACATCTACCCGTGTTTTCGCCCGCGGCAGGCAGCGAAGTGGCAGCGTTCTGTGGGCGGCACCTACCAGCGCAGCTCGCAACGGCTCTCGAGGCCAACCCGGGGGACATTCCCAAGGCTCTCATATCCACCTTCTTTAGGTGTGAAGGAATGCTAGTTTCAAGGCTCCCTTTCGTCCTCATTTCCTATGATTTGCTTCGTCGCCTGAACCATGGCTTACGTTTCCTTGCAGCTAGTTTGGTTTGGTTTTTGTGGGCCGTTGTGCGACGGGTGTTGCCGAGTCATCCGAGCAGGAGCCCTTTTTTTTCCCTTAAGATGGACAAGGAGTATGATTTGTTGAAGGACAAGTTTCGTCAACTCTCGTCATTATGTATTAATGTACATGACATTTGTTTTTCGGTCTACAGGATGGACGAGATGATGGCGCGCGAGGAGCACCGGGCGGAGCTGCAGCAGCTGGCGAGCGAGGGGAAGGAGAGTGAGGACGCGCGGCTGAGACAGGAGGAGCGAGAAGCGCGCCGAGGCGAAGGCGAACGCAGCGCGCTCGTTGCCTCTGTGTTCGGGGCTGGTGAGGAGGAGGAGGAGGAAGAGGAGGAAGAGGAGGAAGAGGAGGAAGAGGAGGAAGAGGGGGAAGAGGAGGAAGAAGGGGAAGATGAGGAGGAGGAGGGGGAAGAGGAGGAGGAAGAGGAGGAAGGGGGGGAGGTTGAGGAGGGTGAGGAGGAAGAAGAAGAGGATGAGGAGGATGAGGAAGGGGAAGAGGCGGATAGTGGTGGGGAGGTGGTAGGAGAGGGGCCTAAGGGCGGGGCATTGGAGAGCAGAGCAGATGCAGCAGAGGAAAAGGGGTTAGAAAGAATACAGGACGGCGCGGCGGGTGGAGCAAGTGAAACGGTTGGATGCCAAGGTGTGGAGCAAGGGGAGAAGCAGGGGCGGGAGCAAGGGGAGAAGCAGGGGGGGGAGAAGGAGCAGGGAGGAAGAAGCCGTGCAAAGCGGAAATCAAAACCCAGGAGAAGCACTAGCGCGTTAGGCGCACAGGGGAAGGGCGCATCTGCAGATGAAGAGGAGAGCGGCAAGGGGAAGGAGACGGGGAAGGAGGGTGGGAGTGGTGCAGAGAAGGCTGAGAGTAGTGGAGAGAAGGTGGAGAATGGTGGAGAGAAGGGGGAGAGTGGTGGAGAGAAGGTGGAGAGTGGTGGAGAGAAGGGGGAGAATGGTGGAGAGAAGGTGGAGAATGGTGGAGAGAAGGGGGAGAATGGTGGAGAGAAGGTGGAGAGTGGTGGAGAGAAGGTGGAGAGTGGTGGAGAGAAGGTGAAGGGCGGTGAGGAGAAGGGTGAGAGTGGTGGGCGGAAGAAGAAGAAAAAAGCGAACAAGAGGAAGAGGGAGGGCGAGCGGAAGGAGGGAGGGACGAGGGCGCGCGTGCATTCGTCGTCACTGTCGTCCAGCCTCATCAAGATGTTTCTCGCTGACGTTGTTAGGCGAGCCAAGGAGGAGAAGGAGAAGGAGGGGAAGGAGAAGGAGAAGGATGGAGGAAAAGGGGAGGAGGGGAAGGAGAAGGAGAAGGATGGAGGAAAAGGGGAGGAGGGGAAGGAGAAGGAGAAGGATGGAGGAAAAGGGGAGGAGGGGAAGGAGAAGGAGAAGGATGGAGGAAAAGGGGAGGAGGGGAAGGAGAAGGAGAAGGATGGAGGAAAAGGGGAGGAGGGGAAGGACGGGCAGAGAGGCAAGGATGGGAAGGGCAGAGTAGCGAAGGGTAAAGGACGGGCGAAGAGCAAGGGAGGAGACGGAGGAGAGAAGGAGAAGGGGGATGAGGGAGGGAAGGGTGTGGGGGAGACGGAAGAGGTGAAAGGTGGGGAGGAAGGGGAGGGAGAGGAGAGGAAGGAGGGAAAGGAGGGGGAGGGTGATACAGAGATGGTGGTGCAGAGACGGGAGGAAGGAGAGCAGGGGGCTGGAGGCGAGGAGTTGGAGGAAGAGGACGAGGAGGACGCTGAGGGAGCAAAGGTGTGTGAGGTGGTGAGTGGTAGTGCGTGGTAATGAGTGGTAGTGCGTGGTAATGAGTGGTAGTGCGTGGTAATGAGTGGTAGTGCGTGGTAATGAGTGGTAGTGCGTGGTAATGAGTGGTAGTGCGTGGTAATGAGTGGTAGTGCGTGCTAGTGTGTGTTAGTGCATGCTCGTGTGTGCGTGTGCTTCTCGGTGTGTTGGTGTATCATGCCTTGCCTCCCCTGTTAACTCTGACAAAGACGTGTCAAAGAAGCACCGCCCTCCCAATGCAGGCAGGCCTGTCCCAACTCCCCCAACCACCACCCTCTCCCTCCCTCGCCCCACACGCACCCACCAGCCAATATTCATGATCAATAGAGGGACAGGGGCACCCCAAAAAGCTTATCATGGGCCCGAGGCGGGGTGCACGGTGGTGGTAGGAGTGGTGGCAGGGAAACAGCTCGTGGTGGCGAATGCGGGCGACTCGCGGTGTGTGGTGAGCCGCGGAGGCGAGGCGGTGGAGATGGCTCGAGACCACAAGCCCCTCTTCCTCCATCCCATACCTTCCCAATCCCCCCAACCACACCCACCCCCCCCCCCCCCCCCCCCCCCATGCACACCCACCAGCCAATCTTTATGGTCAAGAAAACGACACCCCAGAAGGCCTATCGGGGCCCCGAGGCGGGATGCACGGCGGTGGTAGCAGTGGTGGCGGGGAGGCAGCTGGTGGTGGCGAATGCGGGCGACTCGCGGTGTGTGGTGAGCCGGGGAGGAGAGGCGGTGGAGATGTCGCGAGATCACAAGCCCACCGTGCCGGAGGAGCGCAGGAGAATTGAGCAGTCGGGGAAGTTCGTGTCGGACGGCCGGATAGACGGCTGCCTCAACCTCTCCCGTGCCCTAGGTAAACCCTTCCCACACCGCCCTGCACGCGCCCCCCCTCCTCCCTCCCCGCCCTCTTCCCCTCCTCGTCCTCCCTTTGCTTAGATCGAGCAGGCGCATTGAGCAGGCGTGGAATGTATAACCTATAAACACGCGCATGTGTGTGCGTGTGTGTGTGAATCTATGGGTGAGCAGGGGACATGGAGTACAAGCACAGGCCTGATCTACCTCCAGAGAAGCAGGCAGTCACGGCATTGCCTGAAGTCAAATCGGTAAACCCCTCCCAGCGCTTCTGCAGTAGCGATCAACTCGTAACCCCCTGCTATCAAGTCAGTTCTATCTCAAATCATAGACACGAACTTCTTACTGAAAGCATTTTTTCCAGAGGCACATTTGGTAATTGCTCTACCAGAAATTACACTTACTATGCTCCTGATGGCTCCCCTTACCTGCGTTTCCCCCAATCCATGTATCCCCATCCCTGCATCTCGTCCCATGCCTGTCGCCCCACAAATGTAACCCTTCCGCAATCCGCATTTGTGGTTTCCATACCGCCCTGTTCTGTCATTGCAGGTTGATTTATCGGATAAAGACGAGTTCATTGTGCTTGCATGCGATGGCATCTGGTAAGTTTCTTTCCTTTACACCCACTCGGGCGTGTGCCAGCTCAAACGGTTAAGCCTCAGAGGTCCCGTTATGTCCAGTGCTCAATGCAATTTTCTTTCTCTCATCTATCCAACCACCCGCCGCCCGCCTGCCCTGCCTGCTTGCCTGCCTGCCCGCCTGCCTACCCGCCTGCCCGCCCGCCTGCCTGCCCACCCGCATGTTGCTTGCGTGGCTTCCTGCTTGCAGGGACGTGATGTCAAGCCAAGCCGTGGTCACGTTTGTGCGATCAAGGCTGGCGAAAGAGGTGAGGGTGACGCGTGGAGGCGTGTGCAGGGAGGAGGAGGAGGGAGGGAGACCCCAGGAACCTCACGTATGGTATCATTAAGACTCATGATTCATCATGCATTTGGTTCAATTCCTCTTGTGTTTGGTTTGGCCCTCCCAAGGGCATACACTCACCACCTAATCACTTGGTCTCTCATCACTCATTACTTAATCACTCATCACTCATTGTGCCGGCCGGCTCTGCAAATCCTGTTCTTCCTTTCCTCTCTTTCCCTTTCAGGTTCTTCTAACCGACGTGTATGCACAGCTCATGGGCGCATGCATGATCTCATCTCCTCACAAAATCACCTTGCCTTGCCTCTTGACTTTGCCCCTCCCAGGTGCTTCTAACCGACATATGTGCACAGCTCATGGATGAATGCATTGCTAAGGATGCGCACTCATCGCCTCTCGGCCTGGACAACATGACAGTCATCATCGCACAGCTCAAACCCACCATGTGGCAATCCCCTCCTTTGCCTCCCAAAGAATCCTGCGAGGCCTCTTTCACCTTTGACAAACCGACACATTAGTCTCAAGCACGCACTCGTCTTGTCGCATCTAGGCCTGACAACATGGCAGTCATCATTTCCCAACTGGAACCCGCCATGTGGCAATCACCTTAGGTACCCAACACTGCGGCCTCCTCGCACTAGGCCTCAATCAAGCGGTCACTCTTTCATCGCATCTTAGCCCTGACAACATGACAGGCGTTCTTCTCACACTGCGAAAACCCGCCAAACCTGTCTTTTGACAATATCTGTAGCCAGTTATGTGGTAGAAAGCAGATATAAAGTGCTTTACCCATCAGTTTTTGCTGTAAGGAACTGGGAACATCATTTTGCATTTAGTGCCACGAGTTATGGCAGTTAAAAACTGTGAATCGAGTGATAGTTCAAGCTGCAAGCATTTATCTGTACAACTAAACATACACAGAGGCCATCTCGGATATACGTACTCTGCTCCTCATAAGAGCCTCTTATCAACTCTTGGGGCACTTCCCTGTGTTACTGCAACAATTGTTACATGTTACATGTCACAGAGCTTAAATCAGGTTACCACCAGCTCCAGGCTCCAGCGCTTGTCGTGGCATCTACTATTCTGGATATTTGATGTGTTATGCTCCGCTCCGCACTCCATGTACCATGGAGGTACATTGACTCATGGAGCATCAACTCCTGTCTCGTCATCAACTCATGTCTTGTGATCGCCCAGTGCTCACCTCACGTGATGGTCCAGCTCTTGTGTCGGGAGAATGCGAGGAAGGTGGGGAAGGTGGGGAAGGTGGGGAAGGTGGGGAAGGTGGGGAAGGTGAGGAAGGTGGGGAAGGTGGGGAAGGCGAGGAAGGTGAGGAAGGAGAGGACGGTGAAGAGGATTATTTTTAGGTGCCTCCAAAATGAGGAAGGTAAAGAGGAACGTCAGGAGAAAGGTCAATGTGTTCATGATTATCAGTGCTCACGTCAAGTGATGGTCCAATTCTTGTATCGGAAGAATGCGAGGAAGGCGAGGAAGATGAGGACACCGCCCACACCCGAGTCAATGAGGATCCACTTGAGGGCCGACGGGTCCTCCTCCAGGCCCAAAGGCACGTTCATCCCAAACGTGCCCGCTATCACCCCCCACAGCGCCACCACGAACCCTGCCATTGCGTTTTGTCCGCGGTAATAGAAGCAGGAAAGAGACCGGGGGAGAAGCAGGAAAGAGATGTGGGGAGCAGGAAGTTTGAGTATCAGGACGGGCACAAGAGACGGTGCTTGACTAAAGGTGTCGTCCCCGCACCGCCCACACCCGAGTCAATGAGGATCCACTTGAGGGCGGATGGGTCCTCCTCCAATCCCAGCGGCACGTTCATCCCAATCACCCCCCACAGCACCACCTCGAACCCTGCCAATGGATGGGAAGAAGTAGATAGGTGGGATTGCAGGGGGCAGCAGGAAACAGGTGTGGGGAGAGAAGGAGGGAGTGGTGAGTGTTTGCACAGGCCTGGGACTGTGCTTGAGTCAACATGACCTTCCTGCACTGCCCACCCACCCTCCTCTCCAGTCCCAGAGACACAATCACCCCCCCCAGCCCCACCACAAACCCTGCCAGAAAGTTGTGGGAGGCAGGAAAGAGGGAGAGTGGGTAGAGGGAAGCGGTGTGGGGAGAGGCAAGGGAGGGAGACTGTTTCACCTCAACCTGCTCACCTTGAGTTGCTCGTGTAGCACAGAGCGATACACACATCCCGTTTAAGCGGTGATGCCGAAACTCACCAGTGGACAGGAACCATACACCCATCAACAGAAACCAGACACTCAGCAGCAGCAGCAGCAGCAGCAGCAGCAGCAGCAGCCACACACTCATTCACGCACCAGCGGTGGTCATGATGAGTTCGAATTGAATGAGCTGATTGCGAACATTATCCAGCTGAATATTAATGAAATCCTCCGTGTCATCAATGTATTGCGACAGCTGCGTCAGCTTGTTCAGCGTGCCATCAATCACCACAAAGTATGCCTCCAGCAGCATTTCTAGTTCCTCCACGTTCTCCACACTTGTCGCCGTGCTGTCACTGGCGCTGTGCGCACCGCTCCAGAAGCTGATGGACGGCGGCGCTCCACCCAAGCCGGACGGCCGACCGTCGAGGTAGTGGCTTCCCTGTGGTTGAATGTGGGAAGGAGAGGAGAGGGGAAACGGGAAGAAGGAGGGGGTGGGGGTCAGCTTGTCCAGCATGCCATCAATCACCACAAAGTATGCCTCCAGCAACATCTCTAGTTCCTCAACGTTTTCCACGCTCGTTGCCGTGCTGTCACTTGCACCCATCCCCGACGGCTGACCGTCTAAGTAGTGCCTTTCCTGGTAGTTGTTGAAGGGGGGTTGGTGGGAGGCGAGGCGAGGAGTCTGAGAAGTCGCAAAGGAATGCCCCTCCGCAATAGGTTGTGAGTGTGGGGTTGGGGGATGGGAAGAAGAGTGTACCATCAATCACAACATGGTATGCCTCCAGCAGCATCTCTAGCTCCTCCACGCTTTCGACACTTGTCTCCACTCCGTGCTGTCACTCGCGCTGTGCGTGCCAGTCCAGAAGCTGATTGGCGGAGCAGGGCCCAAGCCTGACAGCCGGCCGTCCAAGTAGCGGCTTCCCTGTGATCCGTTGTAGGCGGGGGGAGGATGGAAAAGGAAAGGTTTGATTTGATTTGATCTGTAGGCACACGCTCGGATTAACTAAAGATCAAACTTTTAAGACCAACTCCTTGGGGATGTGTGAGTGCAAGCGAGAGGGGTCATTTTTCAGGCTCGAGAGAACCAAAAGTCGCCGGTGTCGCACTGCGGCCGGGCTCCCATCCGCTCTCAATCCTCCTGTCCCTCTCAACCCACACTCCCTCGAAGTGTGCGAGTGCGAGTGGTGGCTGACAATCACTGCAACAAGCAGCAGACGCACATGTTTCGTGGGCGAGCCAGCTGCAGAGACGTTTGAAGGGCCTTTTGAGACCTTTTGAGGCCTTTTGAGGCCTGTTGAGGCCTTTTGAGGCCTTTTGAGGCCGTGGGCACACCTGCCGTGGGTGGGCGAGGTGAAGCAAGGTTGTTTTTGAGACGTCTCAAAAACGAGCCAGCTGCAGAGACGTTTCAAGGGCCTTTTGAGGCGCACACGTGCCGTGGGTGGGCGAGCCAGCTGGGGAGACAGGGGCTGAAATGGCCGACCCCAACCCAGCCCCCAACGTACTCTCTCAGGGCGCGCGAGAGCAATCCAAGCGCAGCGGTCGCTGCAGTCGTCATGATGTGGGCCCGGCCGCCTACTCTCAATCCCCCTCTCTTCTCTGATCGAACTCACATGTTTGGTTGGAGAACCAGCTGCGGAGACAGGTGCAGAGATTGAAGACCCAACCCCTCCAAGGGACTCCCTCGGAATGTGCGAGTGGTCACTGCCGTCGTCGCGGTGCGCCCCCCCTCGCTCACTCTCGCTGCGCTCCTCTGCTTCTGTCCCTCGTACCAACCCGCCATGTTTGCCAAACCTACATGCTAGCCAAGCCTACAAATAAGCCAAACCTACATGCTAGCCAAGCCTACAGATAAGCCAAACCTACATGCTAGCCAAGCCTACAAATAAGCCAAACCTACATGTTTGGTTGGAGAGCCAGCTGGCGACACAGGAGCAGAAATGGACGATCCGAACCCCCCAAGGGACTCCCTCGGAGTGTGCGAGTGGTCGCTGCCGTCATCCCGGTGCCCCCCTAATCGCTCGCTCTCACTGCGCTCCTCTGCCAGCAGGCGCTTCTGGGTGAGGTACATCTCCGCCATGTCCCCATCGTCGTCCATCAGTTGCTCTATCTCGTCCCTCACCTTCCAGAGGGGTTCACAGGCGGTGAGCAGGGGTGAGAAGGGGTGAGAGGGGGTGGGATGGGGTGACAATGCGCTTCTGGGTGAGGTACATCTCCGCCATGTCTCCATCGTCGTTCATCAGTTGCTCTTTCTCGTCCCTCACCTTCCAGAGGGGTTCACAGGCGGTGAGCAGGGGTGAGAGGGATTAAGAGGAGGTGATAAAGAGGACAGGGGGTGATAGGGGGTGGGAGGGGGTCACAATAGGCTTCTGGGTGAGGTACATCTCTGCCATGTCCCTGTCGTCGTCCATCAGCTGCTCTATCTCGTCCCTCACCTAAAGGCGGCGACAGGGGGTGGTCACAGGTGGTAGCAAAAGGAGTAACAGCGGGTAAGAAGGGGTGCGAACGGGTGAGAAGGGGTGAGAGAAATGACAGTGTGCTTCTGGGTGAGGTACATCTCTGCCATGTCCCCACCGTCGTCCATCAGTTGCTCTATCTCGTCCCTCATCTCCCCAGGGGGTGACAGGGGGTGGCCACAGATAGGTGGTAGTAACAGGGGTGACAGGGGGTGAGAAGGGGTGCGAAGGTGTGAGAAGGGGTGCGAAGGGGTGAGAAGGGGTGACAATGGGCTTCTGAGTGAGGCACATCTCTGCCGTGTCACCATCGTCGTCCATCAGCTGCTCTATCTCGTCCCTCACCTTGCCTAGGTGGGGTAGGTGGGGCCAGCAGTGAGTGGCAGGGCAGGGAGGGATGACAGGGGTGGAGGTAACAAAGGGTAATTCGCATGCGCACAGGCAGGAGGAGTGCGAGAGAGTGCGAAAACAATACCTTCTGCACATGTGAATGTGGCAGAGGGGACGGGAAGGTGGAGGAGAGGGTGGGGGATGATACATTCTGCACTTTTGAGGCGCCTCAAAACATGAGACGACTTTTGAGACGCCTCAAAACATGAGACGAATTTTGAGGCGCCTCAAAAGGGGACGGGAAGGTGGAGAGGGTGGGGGATGACACATTCTGCACGCGTGAATGTGGCATAGAGAGGGGCGGGAGGGGGCGAAAGGTGATACCTTCTGCACGCGACGAGAGAGGCCCAGCAGGCGCTGACGGCGAAAGATGCAGAGCACCAACTCGAGAGGGGAGGGAAGGAGGGCGGTCAGCCACACCTTTTTTGAGGCGTCTCAAAAAGAGGGGAGGGAAGGAGGGGGGTCAGCCACACCTTTTTTGCACACGGCGGGGTGAGGGAAAGGTGATACCTTTTGCTCACGCGTTGGGGAGAGCGGGAGGTGTTACCTTCTGCACGCGGCGAGTGAGGCCCAGCAGAATGCTCTTGATTCGCCGCACCAACTCGAGAGGGGAGAGGGCAGCAGGAGGGTGAGCAAAGCAATACCTTTTGCGCACACCCATTTGTGGGTGGAAAAAAAACCCTTTGCCCCAAGGCAGGGGAGAGGGCGGGGGATGGTACCTTTTGCACGCGGCGGGTGAGGCCCAGCAGGATGCGCTTGATTCGCCGCAAGTGCTCCAGAGGGGAGGGCAGGAGGGAGGGGAAACCTGCCTTGTGCGAGTGCCAGTGGGGGGGACGGGGGCAGAAGAGTAGGGTGGTACCTTTTGCACGCGACGGGTGAGGCCCAGCAGGCTGCTCTTGATGCGCCGCACGAGCTCCAGGTTGGTTGTACTGATCTGAAACGCAAGACGCTCCAATAGCGGATACGCTTCCTGTGCTAGCTCCTGCGCCTGTGGACGGGAAGTCAGGCGGGGGGGGTTGAGTTGCACACACGCACATTCACACACATACACACATATGCACAGACATGCACGCACGCTTCCTTATCCATTTTTCTTTCCAGGGAAGATGAGCGCAGCTGCACTTGTGGTATTTTGATATTCTCAAGAATCTGACCTGTCGATCGAGGCCCGAGCAGGAAAGCTCGAGGGCAAGCTCAAGAGCCTTAAACTCGAAGGGCAAGTCGTCCTCCTCTGCTGTGCTGCCCGATCCGCTGAACATGTCCTCACTGCTGATCTCGCGTCTGGGAAAGGGGTGGAGAGGGGTGAAAAGCGGTGAGGAGAGGTGAAGAAAGAGAGGAGAGCTCTAAACTCGAAGGGCAAGTCGTCCTCCTCTGCTGTGCTGCCCGACCCGCTGAACATGTCCTCACTGCTGATCTCGCGTATGGAAAAGGTGGAGAACGGTGGAAAGCGGTGCAGAGCGGTGAAGCGCAGTGAAAAGCGGTGATGAGCGGTGAAGAGCAAAGGGGAGCAGGATAAGAGATAAAGGATACACACATTGAATCACACCAGCCCGCGCTGGTCTGCGCTGCTTACCAACCAAGCTGGCTAAGCATAGCGGAACACCACGTATGGACTGCTCTGCTCTGCTCTGCTCTGCTCTGCTCTCGCACGAGCATCCAGAAAGCCTGTCCTTCCTCACCACCGAATAGATTTCTGAGGCGCCCCAAAAACCAGGCATGCACTGCTCTGCTCTACTCACTTCTATCAGGCATGCACTGCTCTGCTCTACTCACTTCTATCAGGTATGCACTGCTCTGCTCTACTCACTTCTATCAGGCATGCACTGCTCTGCTCTACTCACTTCTATCAGGTATGCACTGCTCTGCTCTACTCACTTCTATCAGGTATGCACTGCTCTGCTCTACTCACTTCTATCAGGTATGCACTGCTCTGCTCTCGCACGAGCATCTAGACCGCTTGTCCTTCCTCACCTCTGAATGCTGGCGTTTGGAGCATCCAGTGTGAAGCCATTCTCGCCTTTTGAGGCGCCTCTTGGTAGCCAGAACAACCGCTCTACCAGAAACCACGCTCGCCCTCACCTCTGAATGCTGGCGTTTGGAGCATCCAGTGTGAAGCCATTCTCTCCTGGTCTCTCCGTTCTGGAGCACAGGCAAGAGCACGATAGATAGAGTGACATGATGAGGCGTGGAAGTGGAAGGTGGGGAGAAGGCGGAAGAGGCAGAGAAGGGAAAGGGGTGAGGTGGCGGGAAACCAGAGGAGCAGAGGAGAATGACTGAGCAGCAGACGCTGTTAGTCCAGACTGGGATTTAACAAGGTGACTACTGAGTCGACTCAAAAGTCACCTAGCAGCAGGCGCCATTTGTTCGTCCAGACTGGGATTTAAAGCTTCAAACAAGGGGCTGCAGCGGGATTGCAATGCCTCACACATAACAGGGCATGAATCCCATCCATCAACTCCTACCCCCCACCACCCCTAGAAACCCCTCCACACCCACCCCTCACCCCCACCCCATCCCTCACCCCCACCCCTCACCCTCACCCCACCCCTCACCTCCACCCCTCACCCCCACCCCTCACCCTCACCCCTCACCCCCACTCCTCAACCCCACTCTTCACCCCCACCCTTGTCCCCCACCCACGCTCATCCCCACTGCTCACCCCCACAGCACTCTGAAGTCAGAGGGGGCAGCCATGCCCAGCAGCAGCCGCCGCTGCAGTGCTTGCTTGAACTGCGGGGAAGGGGGAGAAGGGGTGGAGAGGCACAGGAGGGGTGCTTGATGATGACATGATGACATAATTGCGAAGAAGAAGCGAGAGGGGAGAGAGTTGAGTGGGCACGCCCGCCCAGCAGTAACCGCCGCTGCAGACGATTTTTGAGGGTGTTTTTGAGACGTCTCAAAAACGCCCAGCAGTAACCGCCGCTGCAGACAATTTTTGAGGCGCCTCAGAAGAAGCGAGAGGGGAGAGAGTTGAGTGGGCACGCCCGCCCAGCAGTAACCGGCGCTGCAACGCCTGGTTGAACTGCGTGGTGAGGCAGAGAGGGAGGACTTTTGAGGCGCCTCAAGAACCGACTTTAAAAGCGCCTCAAAAGCCGGCGCTGCAGCGCCTGGTTTAACTGCGTGGTGAGGCAGAGAGCGAGTGGAGATGCAGGAGGGTGGATGGAAGTGGACAAGTAGGAGGAGCGTGGATGTAAAAGGGGCAAAAAGAGGGCGACGGGGTAGCAGGTTGAGCAGGCATGCCTAGCAGCAGTTGCCACTGCAGGGCGTGCTAGAAGTGAGTGGTGGCGTTGGGGGGGAAAGGGGGAGTACGAGTCAGGGCATGCCTACCTGCTGCACAGCAGCAGGGTCTGTAACGTTCAACAGAATCACCTCATCCGCCGTGATGATTCAGCGGATGGATGCTCTCCGGATCCCCACTTACCACCACCGCACCCATGCTTCATTCAGATCCCCACGCAGCGCCTACCTGCTGCACAGCAGCAGGGTCTGTAACGTTCAACAGAAGCACCTCGTCCGCCATGATGATGCAACGAATGCTCTCCAGATCCCCGTGACCCACCGCCACACCCATAACCGAGTCAAAACACCCTTGATCCACGATACAAAGCTCATACCTGCTGCACGGCAGGGTCAGTGACGTTGAGCAGGAGCACCTCGTCCGCAGTGATAATGCAGTGGATGCTCTCCAGATTCACCACGACAGTTCATTCTTGATTCATATCCCAACACACAGGCACCTACCTGCTGCACGGCAGGGTCGGTGACATTGAGCAGGAGCACCTCGTCCGCTGTGATGATGCAGCGGATGCTCTCCAGATTCACCACCATGGCGCGCTCTCGCCCCAGGATGGTGGACGGATACACAAACACTGGGTCCAGCAGCCGCAGGTCTCGCCCGGGGAGGTCACATCTGGCGGTGGAGAGCGATAGAAAGGTAAAAAAACAGGGCGTTAGACGCGTCCACCTGTGTTCCTTCCCTCGCCCCAGGATGGTCGACGGATACACAAACACCGGGTCCAACACCCGTAAATCGCGGCCAGGCAAGTCGCATCTGGCAGGAGGGAGTGGTGGAGGGTAGTGGAAAGAATCAATGGGAAACTTGGGGGAAAGGCGTCAGGTTCACCACCACGGCGCGCTCTCGCCCCAGGATGGTGGACGGGTACACAAACACCGGGTTCAGTGGCCGCAGGTCTCGCCCGGGCAAGTCGCATCTGACGGTGGAGAGCGGTGTAAAGAGGTGGAATGCGGTGGAAAGGGAGAAGGGGTTCAGAGTCAGACGCCTCTACCAGTGACTTTTAGTGGTGGACGGATACACAAACACTGGGTCCAACAGCCGTTGGTCTCGTCCACGCAGGTCTTCCTCCCTCCCTCCAAATCCCACTCTCTCCCTGTCTCACTTTCGCATCAGCGTGCCTTTCCCCTCCGTACATTCCTCCCTTCCTCTCTTGTACCTCTCCTATCTTCCTCCCTTCCTCTCTTGTACCTCTCCTATCTTCCTCCCTTCCTCTCTTGTACCTCTCCTATCTTCCTCCCTTCCTCTCTTGTACCTCTCCTATCTTCCTCCCTTCCTCTCTTGTACCTCTCCTATCTTCCTCCCCTCCCTCCCCTTCATCCTCCCTCCCTCCCATCCTTACCGCCGCATCCGAGTGCCTTTGTCCACTTCCAGGATGCTCTCTCCCCCCTCTGTACCTTCGTCCACTCCGAGCCTTCTTTTACCTCTCCAATTTTCCTCCACTGCCTACCCGCAGCCCGCCATCCCTCCCTCACTCACTCACCGGCGCATCAGAGTGCCTTTGTCCACTTCCAGGATGCTAACTTCCCCCGACGGGTCGATTCTAATCCACGACCGCACGCCCTGCCCGCGCTTCTTCTTCGGCCCCATCGGCGGAGGAGGCGGAGCCCCCGCTCCCCCGAACCCTCCGCCTACTCCTCCCGCTCCCCCTAACCCTCCGCCTCCGCCTCCCCGCAGGCCGTTGGTGACCGCGCTAGTTCCCGTTCCCCCCGATGCTATCGAGCCGGACGCGGACGAGGCGGATCCTAGGTCCCTACTGGCGGCAGTGCCCGTAAAATGCGGCGTGAGTAGCGGCGAGAGGCGCGGGGATAATGGCGCGGCAGAGGGAGCTGGAGCAGGTGGGGGTTTTCCGCCTAGGCGGAACTGGGCTTGCGGAGGACCGGGGAGAGCGGCGGAGAGCCCGCCAACTGGGGGAGGCTGCGGGGGGATGATTGTGGGTACGGGAGGTCTGCGCGGAGGAAGCAGTGGCTTCTTCAAATCCGCCTTTAAATCGGCCATGGTGAGAGATGGTGTAGTTTGTGACACGAGGAAAAAAAGACCTTACTAGATGGCAGGAAGCTGACGGAGCAGGCAAGGAATAAACTAAGGATGACGTGAACCAACTACGGGCTGCTCCTACGCACCCTAGTCTCCAAGTCTGCCGTTGACATAGTTAGTCATGGTGATAAATGCATGTTCCAAAAGTTCTCATATATTTAGGTCTGCCGATGATGCGCCTGTCATGGCTTGGCAAACCCTTGCTACATGGCGAATTGAGATAGCCTATACCGTGTAATCCCCTTCAACAGTCCTAATGAGCAGCAAAGCTGTGTATAGTTCAATACAAGCTTCTAATTCTACTAGTTCTTCACGTGGGATTTGACGGGCGAAGGGCAGCTAAGGTCAAATAAGAGCTGGCGGCAGAGATGGCTTTAGTTAGGCGATAGGACTGGCTCTTCTAGGTACTCAATGCTAACGCTATCGCTTCGGACAAGGTTGTGGTAACCAGCTAGCGAGATTTGAATCTCGCTGGGTGAAGGTGACGAGTGACTGCACACCATTCCACTCGTGGTTTCCTGTGTGCGAAAAACGTGCTGACGAATGAGAAGCGAGAGTGAAAACCACCTCAGTGTACAGTACGGCGTTATCCAATGTGATGTAACCTGGTCAGTTGGGTGTGTGCTTGACTGGGAAACACGTTTTTTCGACCTCGGGAATAGTTTCTTCGCCCCACCCGACTGGAGGAAACTGCTCAAACATGAGGGCCCTGTTCGGTAGCCTTCCAGTCACATTGGGCCCACTCGAGCTGGGGAAGCCTACGAAATGTTTCGTAGCCTCGGGCGTCCACTCACACTGAAAGGAAGTCTCGTTCCCAAATCCAAGAAGTTACCTTGCGTTTCTTGAGAAATTACTTGCCGAAACTTTTATTGCTGTACGAGGCTGCCCCAACCACAAACAAAAAATCAGTCCGCCAAATGAAAAACGGTCGATATGGATAAAGAAAATCAGGAACGGGCACGATCTCTCATAGTTTGAAAGAGCGGGCTAAAAAACTTTAATTTGAACCGAATCAAAACTAGTGCAGCGTATACCCTCCAGCCTGCCACTCTGAGCGGGCCTGCCTGGGTTGAACTGGAAAGCTGAAATGGGAGGGACTTCCACTGACTGTCGAGTTTGCCTGGGCGCGACAGTTTCGTGGTAGTGTCCTAGCACGCAGTTGAAGTGGGATTTTTATGCGTTCGGTAGCCCAGTTGCACTGGACAGGCTCGATGTTCTAATAACGGTGTTTTGGGTTTTAAGCAATTTGAATTTAGGATAGAGAAGATCGCACGCACCAACCACAGTATGACTGGGAGGGCTACCGAGCAGGGCCGAGGATTCACAGCGCCGCCAAAAAGCGTTACGGTCAGCTTGTTGGAAATGAGGAACTGGGGCACTGAACTGACTGTAACACATCAGCTGCTGTGTTGATGCAGCAACTGCGACACGACTTCATTTGACGACTTAGCGACCAACCAGCAATTGTCAAGCCAGTGTTTCCTCCAAACAACACGACTTAGGTTTCCATGACTAAGTTTCCATGACTAAATTTCATGACTAAGATTGAGCTAAGACTTCTTTCCGATTCGTAGGTTTCTGGACTGTCTAGAACCACCTGAGTAACTTAACGACTTTGGTTGATAGTTGAGAGGAGGGAAGCCATCCCCAAGAACCAGAAACAGTCGACCAAGTTTTACGCTGAACCTCCCTCCATGCTGTGAGTCAGCCACGCCTTCTCCATCCTACTTCCCTTGCGTTTAGTGAGTACGTTGCTTCGGATAGTGTCGGGTAAAGAGGCTTCGAGTATCCTAGGGTTTACTTCCGCGTCTCGATTGTCTGACGGTTAGAGCCCTATCGTGCCCACTTCGGCGGGTGAGGCCCGCTGACACACCACAGATGCAGGGTCAGGCTTCGGTGGAGGCGGCCTCTAGGAACCATGAGGTCCTGCAGGCGTTCAGGGTGCTCGACGTGAATGGCGATGGCAAAATCTCCCCTCAAGAGCTGAGGCAGGTTCTGGATCGCATGGGGTGGGCGGACGAGTCGGCCATGCAGGAGCTGATGGCGAAGGCGGACACCAACGGCGACGGACTGATTGACTTCGAGGAGTTCGTGCATTCGTCGCTTAACCACGCGGGCGCGGGCGCACGTGACGGCGGGGCAGGCGGTATTGTGGAGGAGGAGGCGGAGGAAGGGGAGGAGGACCTGCGCAAGGCATTCGAGCTGTTCGACTGCGACGGCGACGGTAGCATCACCGCTGAGGAGCTCCAGAAAGCCATGCGCATGCTGAGCGGCGACAAGCTGAGCATGGAGGAGTGTCGCACGATGATTGCACGGGTGGACGTGAACAGAGACGGCCGCGTCAGTTTCTCGGAGTTCAAGGGCATGATGGACGGTGTGCTTCGCTGACATCATCTCGCGTGTTAACTCATGCTAACTTAGTACCGCGCCACTAGTGGCGGTTGGGTGCTCTAACAACGGCTAGCATGGTAAGTTTATTCATTGACATTGCTACCTTCAGCTCATGAGGTGTATGAGAGATAGCTTCGACCAGTGCCGTAGACCCCCACATGAGCTCTGTGAGAGTAATATAATAAATGCATCTGGCTCTTGCATGATTGTTTTTGGGTTGATGATACCACAACACAAGGTGCTAGTTCGGTGGGTGGAAGGATGATAGACGTGGTATGTATGTTAGCATAAGTGGCAGTGTTGTTAAACACCCACATGAAAAGGTTGGATAAGAAATTACCAGTACTGTTCTACCGGTAGCATGATACGGTAAGCAACCAGCGTGAGGCTCTTCTTCACACTAACGGAGCCACTGTAAACAGGGCCTACGTTATCAGAAATTTTTGGTCTGTTTGTCTGGATTCCAGACACGTTTTTTATGGTTCATCTGATGGCCTAGACATGTCGTCTAAACTCATCTGATTTTTTAGACAATGTTTTTGTATTTATCTGAATTCTTAGACATCCTTATACAGTTTGTCTGAGACTGCAGATATCGAGTCTTTTCTCGTCTGAAGCAGGGCTGACAATTCAAGGGCAAATGCCCTTAATGCCCTGAACATTAAGGGTTGGGTTCGGCCCAGCTTCCGAATTTGAAGGGTTGGATTCGAGGGCAGCCCGTCCCCGTAAAGTGCTGGTTGTGGGCCTAACCCGGATTTCAAGTGCAGATCCCGCGGCTAGCCCTTATCGTCCCATACTAATACCTCCCTCCCTTCCATTCCCTCACCAGTCCACTCGCCTCCTCCCAGCCATTCCCCTACTTTTCCCATCCCTGTCAAATCCATCGACATGTTTCGTACCTCAGCCTATTGCTTAGCTGGCTCTTAGTAGTTTGCCTAAGATAACGGACCCGAAGAGATGTGGGGTTTCCTTAGCGAAAGTGCAAAAAAGTTGGTAGCCCTGATTTCAAGTGCCAGGTTTGCTCTCAGCCCGTAACTTTCAGGGCAACTTTTGGGGCACCTCAGCCTCTCAAGTTCTGGCTCCAAACCAATCGACAGCCCTGGTCTGAAGGCAAAACTTTCGCGGACCTCAAGGATGACTACACCTACCTAAAGAATCAGGCGCCATGATTCGAACCTGAAAACTCAGACTTCACGAGTCTCTTTTCTTCTGACTAGACCAAAAGGGAACAGTAAATTCGTGGTTCTTGCAGTATCCGATTACTTGATAAAAAACATTCCTTGCTAACTATATATCTTTATCTGAAATTTTAGACAAGTACTTAGGATTCGTCTGAAAAGCTAGACACTGTTACAGCTTTCGTCTGACAATCAGACAAGGAGCCAGGACCCAGTCTTAAAGCCAGACGGGTCATTTTACTAAAGTTAGCCCTGACTGTAAATACAGCTGTACAGTGTTCACTACCATAAGGGTAAGAACTGGAAACGAACATGAGTTGCCCTGGATTGATCAACCAGTCCTTGCCCTAGATATACCAGCCAAGCCAATCCTCTCTTTGCTGGCTACTCTTCCCACTCCCTTACCCCTCGCTCACCATTGTCCTTCCCGTCTTCCACCGTGCCCTGCTCACCCTCCCCCACATGTGCCATGATCCACTTGAGCCCCTCGCCCATGGTGCCTGGCAGGCATGTGGTCACTGATGCACCACGGCGACACCACTATCTCACGCACAGCCTCCTGCTGCACCTCCACCACATGCCACCGCATGTGACCTCCCGCCACCTCCTCGTGCGATGGGAACACGCCAAACTGCCTCTGTGGATGCACTTCCTTGCTATAATCTTATGCTTTTTAAGGTGCTTATTCCTGCATCTCAACCAAACATCTTCGCATATGCAGCCTTCTCCTTTTCCTTCCTTGTTGCCAGCTGCAAGGAAAGAGGGACGTCAAACATGAGTTGAAAATGATCATTTCAACAATTAGGCTTGCTATACTGCAATCACTCACCTTCTTTTTGGCAGCCGCAAGCTCTCTTTTGATTCCACCTGACCATGAATAAGAACGCACAACAACATTGTTTACAACTGCAAAGCGATGGAGATAATGGATTTGCAGCTATGCCAACAATCCCTAACAATCCACGGCGATAAGGTGAGTCCCATCAACATACCATCGTTCGGTTCGACCTTCAGGGCCTGTGTCAGGTCAGCAATTGCTGGTTCCAACTCATTGCGACCCAAATACGCCTGCCAATCACAAATCAAACAGAAATGCTCATGCCTAAGCACACATGGATTCTCTTCAAGCGAATAAGAGATTCCCATGCTTCACGATATACCCTGTTGAGAGGAGCACTGGCCTAGAAAAAGACACATTCGTACCTGGGCGCGTCTGAAGAGCGCTTTGGCGTTGTTCTCGTTTCTCGACAGCACCGAGCTGCTGTCCTCGATCGCACCGTCAAAGTCCCCGCGCTTCAGCTTGCACGCCTGGGAGAAAGAAAAATCACCCAGCATGCCACATCACAATGTGTGGGGTCGTTCATTTCTAAGGAGCCTCATGTGCAGCCATAATGCTGATACTTGAATTGCTTGCCCAAAAAAGGAACACCCAGCAAGCCCCCATACTAGCAACATGTGAGAAAATATTTAATCAATCAGTGGTACAAAGAGACACTCAGCCTTACAAAAAGTGAGAGGAGCAATACACCATAGCCCCTCACCACATTGTGGCACAGCTCGCTTCCCCTCACACACACCACAGCTCCTCACCACCCTTCACCTTCACAACACCCCACTGCCCGCCCCTCACCGCGTAGTTGTTTAGAAGGGCATCTCGTATGGTGTGGAGCTCCTCTAGGGTCTCTGATGGCCGTCAGGAGGACAGGGGACATTACACCTCACACAACCCACTCCCCACAACCCACACCCCACTGCCCGCCCCTCACCGCGTAGTTGTTTAAAAGGGCATCTCGTATGGTGTGGAGCTCCTCTAGGGTCTTTGATGGCCGTCAGGAGGACAGGGGACATTACACCTCACACAACCCACTCCCCACACCCCACACCCCACTGCCCGCCCCTCACCGCGTAGTTGTTAAGAAGGGCGTCTCGTATGGTGTGGAGCTCCTCTAGGGTCTCTGAGGGCAGTCAGGAAGAAACGGAAAGCATGAATTGGTGAAGGCAAGGAGATGCGACCATTGTACGATGAGAGAAGAGATGGGCAATGGGAGCACACCACCACGGCCTTGCAGTCAGGCTGCTAGAGACATCAGCTCATGTCAGCACACAGCACAAGCGTACCTCCTGGGATGTCCTTCATGTCCCATGCCTTGTCCAAATACACCATGGCCTTGCGGTATCGCCGGAATGCCATGCGGTAGTCACCATTCTGCCCAGGGGGCGGATGTGAGGGAAGTCAATGTGTGCGAGAGAGCTTCAGATTCTGCTTTGAAAGGCCTGACCACCTGCGTCGCCCCAGAATATTAAGCCCCTCATCAGAAATCACGCCGCATCCTTTCCACACCTGAAACGGATGACCAGTCGCTTACCTTGCCTTCAAGTGCTCCGGCTCTCACCTTGGAACGCTCCGGCTCTCACCTTGAAGTGCGTGGTGCCAAGGTCCTTAATTGATTTGACTGCTTCCACCCACCACTGCCACTCCGTGGGTCTCTCATCCAAGTCACTGGGCCAGTCGGGGTATTTGTCTCCATCCTGCCATGTGCACACCGATGGACAGACACAGGAAAAAGGGGCTGCTGGTACTGAGTACAAGGGCACGGGGGAAACGAGGCACCCCACCAACTTGCCGTGCCTGCAGATTGATCCTCACATTGCATCACAGAGCCTGCCGTATCCTTCCACCTCCCCCCTTCTCTCTCAGTTCCCACTTACAGGGTGGTTCATGGTGCCGTCGTCCTCCCCCTCTGCCAGCTCGCCGCAGTCGTCGATAACAACATCGCTCAACGGACGATCTGAACCGTCCGTAGGTGTGATCTCCACCGCTCGAAGCACCTGATTGATCAAATAGAAAAGAGCGGAGATAAGCGGACTAGCTCGCTTTCTAGTTCATAGCGAAGAGGCAATCACAATGATTTTCGTGCAGTTCTGACTGCGGATGTCTTTGCATTCGTGCAACTAACACAACCAACCACTGGCAAGCGTGCAGTGGTTCGAATTCAGTCTCTGTCATTCTCCAGCCTGCCCTCCTGCTTGTATGGCCGTTTGATCCAGATCGAAGTGCTTCCGATGAAACTTCACGTGAAGTCAAAGTTGACTTCACTCTGAAAGAGGTCAGGTAAACCTGAAAGCATCTTTGTCCATACCCTTCACAAACAAATATCACTCTGAACCTTGTTCCTCACCTGTCCTCCTCTCAGCACCCTGCCAAACACGCAGTGCTTGCCATCGAGATGCGGCGTGGGCCCATATGTGACAAAGAACTGACTGCCGTTCGTGCCAGGCCCGCTGTTCGCCATGGATAGAATCCCACGCTTATCATGCTGCGGTGGAGTGCGGTCAGGATGGGAAAGGTGTGGGTTTGCTTAGCTCATTGATAAGAAGCGGCGCCTTATCAGGAAATGGAATGATGATGAAGGATGGATGGAGTGAAAAGCTGAATTTCGAGCCAGCTCGTTGATATGATTCAACCACCGCCTCTAAGTTGATGCTTTAAGCATAAGTGCTTTTGGAACCAAAGCCAGAAGAAAAACTCATGGTGACTGAAGATGATCATCCTTCCAAAGAATTGAAAGAGCTGTCTTTTGAGTCGACTCAGAAGAAAAACTAATGGTGACTGAAGATGATCATCCTTCCGAAGAATTGAAAGCATCATACCTTGAGCGCAAGACCCCCAGGCTCGTCCTCGAACTTCTCCCCGTAAATTGATTCGCCTCCTGTGCCGTTCTTGTTGGAAAAGTCCCCCCCTTGCATCATGAAACCCTTGATGACTCGATGGAAGGGGCAGCCCTGGAATTGTTTCAAACGGGAGAGGTAGAGGAGAGAGGAGAGAGGAGAGAGGTGAGAGGGGAGAGGGGGAGAAGAAGCGTATAATGGCGGGCCACTCGAGTGCAATGAGACGCTATAACGCCATTGTCATAAATCCAGAGTTACTCATAACGTGCAGTGGAATATCACGCTAATTGTTACAAATCTATCGATGGATGAGAGACCTTCACGTATTGAAATGAAACGGATCAAAGCAGTTTTTGTGAAATTCGGAGAACAATGAATCATAGTGGAGGCCAAGGCTCGCCTTGAAATGAAGCGGCAAGCCGGTGCTTGCGCCAATCCCCTTCTCCCCCGTGCAAAGCGCGCGGAAATTCTCCACCGTCTTGGGCGCGGCGTCTTTGAAGAGCTCCATCACCACGCGACCCTCCGGCTCTCCCGCGATCGACACGTCGAAGTACACGCGCGGATTCGCCATGGTCACAGGATCGGAACGGAACGAGACGCACAGACGATCGACGAGTTCTAGTTGATGATTAGTAATTAACCACCTCGCAGATCTAGTAGTTAAACGGAGGTGGTAAGACTAAGGATAACCAGCGATCAGAGAATGTTGGGGGAGTTGAAAGTACCGTCGTTTATGATCATCAGCCACACATGTTTCTGGAATTCTGGCTGCTCAGTTCCGTTCCATACCCTGTAAATTTAGCGGGAAATGGTTTGACTATGGATTTTGGCTGTTGGAGATTCGAGAAGCTTCACCGCGACGCTTCTGAGCGTCAACAAATGCTGAAGCGAAGAGATGTCCGACGTTGTAACCATCACACTGAACTTCGTCCTCCAGTAAAAACAATTTCTGGCGATCCCAGCGACCTCGAACTTAGTCAATCCGATCTGAGAAGCTTTCATAGGGTGATCAGGTTCAGTAGCTGTTTGCGCGGCGATTTTAGGAGCTTTGTACGAAGATAGATGACCCCTCATTAGTTAGTCTCAGCACGTGGCTGTAGCGAATCCTGCTTCGGGTTTTGTGGAAGATGGTATCACGATTCAGCGCCTCCGTCCGCACCACTTTAGAACCACCCGTTTTGTTCAATTCGATACACACTACAGCTCGCACAGTCGTCAGAACCGCTTCTCACCGCATAGCGCTGTGCGATCGCGAATCAAACGCACCATTGCATCATCTCCCGGCCATACGCGCCTTTACACCTGTTACAGTCACGCCAGTCACAGTCGCACCAGCACATACTGGCCTCTCGTATCAGACAGAAACCCTGTCAGTACGTTGCCGTGCATCACAGTCGATAAGGGCATTCACCGGGTCGCAACGGTCAAGTTCAATTATCAGAGAAAATCAGCACGCAATGGCGGGTTCCAGGCCAGCAGCTGGGTCTTCTATGGGGTTTTTGAGCCATGATGGCCAAGACAAGGAAGCTCGTGGCAAGGAAACAGATGACAGACAAGCGGATGAGCCGGAGGTGACCTTCTACACGCACGGCCTGTGTCCGTACGCGCAGCGAGTGGCGATCACGCTGGAGGCCAAGGGTACGAGCCACGCCCTTCTGACATTCCTGTTTCTCTGTCTTCCAACGGCGTTCGTTCCGACATTGTGACTGCTCCTGCTGTCCGTTACTCAGGTGCCCGGGAAAATGTCTGCTTTGGCGCCTGAAACATGTGATTGTTTTTCTGTTCTGATCTGAACCAGGCATGGATTACAAGAGCGTTCACATAGACCTCTCCAACAAGCCTTCATGGTACTTGCTTACACACAACCCCTCATTGCTGTTCGCTTCACTCTCCTGCTGCCTTTTACCCCTCTCAATCGTCTCATATTTTCCTTCCAACGTCCACGGGCACTATGGACACATGCAGGTACTTTTCGGTGAATCCGCGTGGTCTGGTGCCAGCTGCGGATGTGAGCGGCCAAGTGGTCACAGAGAGCATTGACATCTGCAGGTTTCTGGACGAGCGCTATCCCAAAGTGCCTCTGGTGCCATCAGAGGCGCAGAGCAGCAGAGCCATGGACCGCCTTGTCAGCAAGGCCGACTCTATCATTCATGCTGTGAGTCTGTTTAATACATTTTGGATCTAAGGTACAAGCAAGCACGTCGTTACTCTCACTCCCAGCTGCGTTCAGCTTCCTTATTTCCGCCTCTTGCAATTGCCTCTGCCTCGACTTTACAGCCATTCTCCAACCTGTCATTTTCTGCAGTCACCGGCCCCCACATACACAAGCCCATTCACAAAGCACCAGCACCAGGCATGCCCCTACCAATCTCTCCAGGGCCCTCCCTCCCTTCCCTGTCCCAGGGCCTTGCAATGGTGGCAGGGTCTGAGCGCCTGTGAGCTACTGACACCAAATAACCCTCCCCCCCCCTTCTCCACCCCCCTTTCCCCCTCCCTCTCCACCCCCAGCAATGGTTGCTGGGTCTGAGCGGTTGTGAGCTATTGACACCAACTAACCTCCCCCCCCCCTTCTCCACCCCCCTTTCCACACCTCCAGGGCCTAGCAATGGTGGCAGGGTCTGAGCGCTTGTGGGCCATTGACACCAAGAGGGGCAGCAGAGGAGGGGGGAATGCGAGGGTACAAGGAGAGTGGATCAAAGCTCTAGACTCACTGCAAGAGGCTGTGCGCCAATCACAGGGGCCATTCTTGACGGGTGCAGACCTCTCTCTGGTACGTGACATGATACTGCTTTGAATGGGGTTGTATGGTTGGCTGCTTCTCATTCTCGCATTACAAAGAAGCACCTGCGTGTAAAACATGTTGATATGTGTTGTCTCGCCCAGCCTGGGCACACCTGCACCTGTCTCCACTCTGTCTCCACTCTACTTGACTCCACTCCACTTGACTCCACCTGTTTCCACTTCACCCATATATCATGGCAGGCTGATGTGGTGCTCTTCCCCTTCCTCGCTCGCTTCCAGCTAGTGGCAGAGGGAATACGAGGCGAACCCTTCTCTCCTGACCACCCACTCGTCACCCAATGGATGGCCGCCATGTGGCAGCAGCCATCTGCCAGGCGCACGTTTCCTGACAGGGACCGGTTCCTGCTGGCGCTGAAGCAGTATGCCAGCCTTGATTACTTTGATTTCCACTCCACTTCACTGGAAGACCCAGTTCCCAAGTACTGGGTGTAGGGCGACACTGTAGGGTGAAGTTCCAAGCAAGTATTAGTCACTGCTATCAGCGGTACGGTTAGGTGCTGCCAAAATCGGTATTTATGGGACAATATTCCTGCTGGAAGCTGGTTGGGTTCATGTAGGAAGTACGGAACTAGTCATCCTTGGCCCTGCCGCCTACGTGATTGATCTTCTGTGCATTGTACATTTGAGCAACCTGTTGGGATGGGGCACAGACACATAACACGAGACACACAGCTCCATGTAACCTCCTTGCATTCAAAGCGCCTAAGAAACAGGCCAGCACACACTTGCAGCGCACAGGGAGCTTCAATTCGAAGTGCTCATCTCTTGTGCATCTCTCAGCCATGCTAGACAGCCTGAGGTGACGAACCTACCTGCTTGCTAGCTGTAGAGTGCTCCTGAGTCCTGACTGTGCTTCCCATGCTGTCGCCTCCTCTCACCTTGGCATCTGAAATAGCTCAACAGAATCCCCCAACACAACCCACCCACCCGTCCTGTAATGCCAGCCTGTCCATTAGAAGTGAACATCCACTCGTCCTCCGCCTTTCAACCACCTTCCCCCCCCCCCCCCCCCCTTCCCCCTCGCTCACCTTTTCACTGGAAGTAGCCTGCTCTACACTCCTATCGGCATGCAGCTACAGGAACCAGGGAAACTGCAGGGAGTACAACCTCGTTCCCTCCTCAGCCCAACCCCAAGATCCCCTCTCTCTGGTGCTCACCAGTTTGCTGGAAGTAGCTTGTTCTGCACTCCTATCATCTCGCAACCGAAACTTTCATCCCCCCTCCCTTCCCCCCTCCGCCACCCTTTTCCCCTTGTGCTCACCTGTTCGCTGGAAGTAGCCTGCTCAGCGCTCTTGTCATCTCCCAGCCATACTAGTTTCCCCCACTCCTCAAACCCCCCTCAAACCCCGTCTCTACCCCCCCATCCCCAAGCTCACCTGTTCGCTGGAAGTGGCCTGCTCCGCGCTCTTATCATCTCGCAGCCTCAGGAACCGGGGGAAGCGCAGAGCGATTCCTTTCGTCTCATTCACGTGCCCGGTTGCCGCCCGGTGCACGGGACTAATGGACAAATCCGCCGCCCGCACCTCCCACACCTCTGACGGCTCGAACCACACTTCCACTCCTAGCGTCTCCCCATACCGATAGTAGGGCTGGGTGTGGGGGGGAGAGAACGGGTTTGGAGTAAGAAAGGGAAGCAGTGGGGGATACACAAACACCACAATATGCCACTCAGACTGCATTGAGTGAGAAAGGTGTTGCAATGATGGGCACGGTACTGCACCACACCACACAACACCCCATCCCACCACTTCCAACCACACCCGACACCATGCCACCCCACCATACCCCACACCGCCCCACCCCACCACTGCACTCACAGGCGGCTTGTCAATGACTCGCTTGCGCAGCGATGCGGATCGCTCCTCCAGCGCTGCTTCGGAGAAGCCGGTGCCGATCTTGCAGATGGACTGGTACTCCTCCGTGTCAGGGTCGTAGCACGCCAGGAGGAACGCCCCGAAGACACCTGTTGAGGAGGACATGATAGATGTTGTTACACAAGGGAACTGGATCTGAATGTCGCCTTGCAGATGGACTGGTACTCCTCCGTGTCGGGGTCGTAGCACGCCAGGAGGAAGACTCCCAACACACCTGTTGAATCAAATGCAATCACGGCAGAAATAGCACGACTTCCAAGGGTTTTTTGCACATTAACATACGGCTTTGCTGTGAGACAGAGACAAAGGGGTTGCACAGAGAAACCGTTGTTCCAGCCCCAAGAGCAGTGGATTTCGTTCAGCAGCAAGCCTTTCAGGCCCAACCCTCCATCATCCCAATGTGTCACCTGCAAAGTTGCAAACCCATCCCATGACCCAGTGTCCTATGCTACTCTCCACCCCTCCCCTCACCTGTTCGCTTGCCACGGCCATGGAACGCCCCGATTGGCACAAGGTCCAAGGAGTCGCCCAGCCTGATTGGGAGGCAGCAGAGGCATGACGGGGGGGGGGGGGGGGGGCGGGGAGCAGGGTGAAACGGGAGTGAGGGTAGTGGGGGATCATGAGGCACCTCGTGGAACGCCCCGATGAGCACAAGGTCCAAGGAGTCGCCCAGCCTGATTGGGAGGGAGTTTGGGAGAAGAGAGAACAGAGTGAAGAGATTGAGGGAGCAGAGAGAACAGAGTGACGAGAGTGAGGGAGACGAGAGAACAGAGTGACGAGAGTGAGGGAGACGAGAGAACAGAGTGACGAGAGTGAGGGCGACGAGAGAACAGAGTGACGAGAGTGAGGGAGACGAGAGAACAGAGTGACGAGAGTGAGGGCGACGAGAGAACAGAGTGACGAGAGTGAGGGAGACCAGAGAACAGAGTGAAGAGAGTGAGGGAGCAGAGAGAAAAGAGTGAAGAGAGTGAGGGAGCAGAGAGAACAGAGTGAAGAGAGTGAGGGAGCAGAGAGAACAGAGTGAAGAGAGTGAGGGACCAGAGAGAACAGAGTGAACAGAGTGAGGGAGCAGAGAGAACAGAGTGAAGAGAGTGAGGGAACAGAGAGAACAGAGTGAAGAGAGTGAGGGAGCAGAGAGAACAGAGTGAACAGAGTGAGGGAGAAGGGCGAGCGTGAAAACAGAGTGAGGGAGAAGAGTCAGTGTGAGAACGGAAGGGTGAAGAGTGAGGGTGAGAACGGAGCGAGGAAGAAGAGTCAGAGTGAGGGTGAGAACGGAGCGAGGAAGAGGGTCAGAGTGAGGGTGAGAACGGAGCGAGGAAGAAGAGTCAGAGAGAGAAGAGTCACAATCTAGCCAGGCCCCACCCTTCCACGTAGTCCTTTCTTGAGCAACACGCATCCTCATCCTCAGCACTGGGAGACCCACCCCAACCGTCCTTTGCTTCCTGCCCTGCCCCATCCCCCCCTTCCATCAATCAAGTCCTTCTTGATCTCGAGCCAGTCTTTGCTCCTCTTGGCCGGCTCATACGTCAACCAAGCACCACACACAAGCACTCACAGTCCTACCCACCGCACCACCACACGCACGACCCATCCCCACCACACCACCACACGCACGACCCATCCCCACCACACCACCACACGCACGACCCATCCCCACCACACCACCACACACACGACCCATCCCCACCGCACCCTTCCATGTAGTCCTTCTTGAGCTTGAGCCAGTTGTTGCTCCTCTTGGCCGGCTCGTATGTGGCATCCACGTCCAGGGTCTTCACCATGGCGCCCTCGCAGCTGCCACAGGGGAAGAGAAAGGGGAGCAGGAAGGGGGAGGGGGAGGTAAGCGGCACGGAGACAAGTCACCATGCACAAGGAGGAACAGCTCGTATGGAAGCAGGGGAAAGCGGGAAGAGGAAAAAGGGAGAAGAAGGGGAAAGGGAGGTGGGGGAGGAAGGGAGTGGAATGAAAATTATGGCCTGCAAAATCGAGGGTACAAGCTCAGCTCAGCTGCCTCCACAACCAGCGGCTTCACTGTCCCGCCCTCTCCCCTTTAAACCCCTCTAATCCCAGCAGCACCCCACCTGTGGTTGACAGCGTCGTCAAAGAACGCCTGCAGCTCCTCCTCCTTGCTGGTCGTGATGGCCGTCGCGAACTGGAACTCGCCCTTGGCCGCCTCAAACGACTCCAGCAGCAGCTGCAGGGGGGGAGAGAAGCGAGGAGACGTCACGAGTACAGGAGAACACGGAGAGCAGGCTTCATTCAAGGGCTTCAAACGACCTTGCTCAAGTCAAACGAAACTGAGACTCGCCCTTGACCGGCTCAAACGACTCCAGCAGCAGCTGAAGCAACACGGCGAAGGAAGGAAGGGTGAGTCAGGAGAGGAGCACGATCTTTGTTCCATTGGCCTGGAGTTTTCTTCAGATTCTCTCAAAACTCGCTCACAAAGGCCTCGAGTGCCGTGTTGTTGCAATGCCTCAAGTAGTGAGAGAACGCCGTGGTAACAGTAACGGACCCAAACGAAACAAAAGCAGCAATCCTGGACTACCCTGCCCTGCCATGTCGTGCCTCACCTCTCTCCGCCGCACGAGCTTCTCTGTGAGCAGCTGCTGGCGAGATGACTTTTGAGTCGACTCAAAAGTCATCCTGTCCTGCCGTGCCTCACCTCTCTGTGGTGCCTCACCTCTCTGCCGTGCCTCACCTCTCTGCCGTGCCTCACCTCTCTCCGCCGCACGAGCTTCTCTGTGAGCAGCTGCTGGCCGTTGAGGTAGAGCAGATCGAATGCGAACATGCACACCTGGTGTGGGAGAAGATGGGGAGGGGGAGAAGAAGAGGAGGACTGAGATGCCTCAGAAATGCCTCTTTAGCTGGTCATCGTTGAGGTAGAGCAGATCAAATGCGAACATGCACACCTGGTGTGGGAGAAGATGGGGAGGGGAAGAGGGGAGGGAGCAGAGTGAGTGCGGCCAAGAACAGAAAGATCATTTGAGCAGGTATAATCGGAGCACACACACACACACACACACACACACACACACACACACACACACACACACACACACACACACACACACATCGCACCCACCCACCTGCACTTTAATGTCGCTCATGATGACGCCCTTCCGCGCCCGCGTGCTTAGCACCTGGAAGGGCAGAATCTTGTCGCTCTCCCTGTCGTACGCCACTGCTTCTGCATCCAATACAAACGTCTGCACGTGACTTTTCTTGTGCCTGCAAGTAAGGAAGAGGGGAAACAGAGGAGAACTAAGCAACCGGAACGGCAGAATCTTGTCTCTCCTCCTGTCATACGCCACTGCCCTCTGCATCCAACATAAACGTGGGCCTTCTTGTGCCTGCACATGGGGGAGAGGGGAATTCGGGGAGAGCGAATTTCGGGTTCTGAGACGTGAGCACCTGGAAGGGCAGGATCTTGTCGCTCTCCCTGTCATGTGCCACTGCCTCCGCATCCAACACAAATGTCTTAACGTGGTCTTTCTTGTGCCTGCGAGTGCAGGAATGCGAGGTGACTGGTCTATCCCTGTTGTGTGCCACTGCCTCTGCACCCAGCTTCTGCCTCTGCCAAACTTGTGCACATGGGCCTTCTTGTGCCTGCGAGTGCGGGAATGCGAGGTGACTGGGCTATCCCTGTTGTATGCCACTGCCTCTGCACCCAGCACAAACTTGTGCACATGGGCCTTCTTGTGCCTGCGAGTGTGGGAGGGGCCGTGGGGAGGAAGGGGCTTGGTGAAGGGGAGGGTTTTGAGACGCCTCTATACTGCGTCCAGCACAAACATCTCCACTTGGGCCTTGTTGTGCCTGTGAGTTAGGGAGCAAGTGCGGGGCGAGTTTCCAGTCAACTCAAGAGTCACTGCGACTCCCTGCCGTACACCACAGCCACCCTGTCGCTCTCCCTGTCGTACACCACTGCCTCTACATCCAGCACAAAGGTCTTCACGTAAACCTTCTTGCGCATGCCAGTAAGGGAGAGGGGAAACGGGGGAGAAGAGGGGTTTGAGACGTGATCACCTGCACGAGAGGGCGATTAGTTAACCTTCTTGGAACCTCTTAACACCCAACTGATTACGAGCTGTACCGTTTCTTTCGTGCTCCGACAGAGAAAGAAAAACACACAAACACACACACACACACACACGCACACACACACACACACACGCACACACACGCACGCACACACACGCACACACACACACCCTTACTGACTGCGTGCTTGACCGACTTACTTCTGAACAGCCTGTACGAGGTCGGGGAACTTGCCAGTGGTGCACTCCGCATTGCGGCTGTAGATCTGCACTGTGCCGTCCGCTAGCCCATGCACCTGCCAGGGACGTGGGGCATGAGAGCATTGATGTTGGTTGGCATGGGCTGGGCTGGGCCATGGGGTGACGTTCGCATCGGGCATGGGTGGGCGGCAAGGGAGATGGAAATTTGTATGAGACCCCTCCCATCCAGATTTGACTACCATGAGAACAGGACCCCAGCAGCTCACTCTCACCTGTGGTGACTTTTGAGTCGACTCAAAAGTTACCATGAGAACAGGACCCCAGCAGCTCACTCTCACCTGTGTTCTCACTCTCACCTGTGTTCTCACTCTCACCTGTGTTCTCACTCTCACCTGTGTTCTCACTCTCACCTGTGTTCTCACTCTCACCTGTGTTCTCACTCTCACCTGTGTTCTCACTCTCACCTGTGTGCTCACTCTCACCTGTGTTCTCACTCTCACCTGTGTTCTCACTCTCACCTGTGTGCTCACTCTCACCTGTGTTCTCACTCTCACCTGTGTGCTCACTCTCACCTGTGTTCTCACTCCATCCTACTCCAACTCGCATGTGAACGTAAGCGCCTGCAGCTAGTCCAATATCTCCAATACGCCCCTGGAGCCCCCTCTTCACATCTTTACTAGAATTCCACGCGCCTAAACGCACCGTCCTCGTGTCTCACGTTCACTCACCTGTGTGCGCTCCCCATCGTACTTATACTCGCACGTGAACGTCAGCCCCTGCAGCTTGTCCAGAATCTCCGATATCCCCCGTGTGGGCTTCGCCAGCATGGGCCCCACCGGCACTCCCAAGGTGAACTGACACGCCTCGGGAACGGCCCATATGCCGTCTCTTAATAGGGATGGAACAACTTGGTCGTAAACTGGGAGGACTGAGTACGCATGCTTCATGATGCGCACTGCCTGGGGGTCGGGGGAAAGGGCAGGGATGAGTGGGGGATGGGGGAATCGGGAGTAAAGTGGGAGATTGGGGAATGGGGCGGTCGGGGGGAGTGCGGGATGTGTGGGTTGAGCGGGCCAGCATGGGCCCCATCGGCACTCCCAAGGTGAACTGGCACGGCTAACTGACACTCACCTCTTCTAGTCTTCCCGGCAGTCGAGCCAGTTTTTCCCTCTTTGAAAGCACCTTTCCTCCTTGACTCTCCTTCCCCGGCCATTTTTCCTCAACCTCTCCCTCCGTCCCCCCATCCCCTCCTCTCCCAATTGCCGCAGCAGCCCCATCCCCACCCTCCTTATTGCCCCCATCCTTATCGTCACCACCCGCACCACCACCACCAGCACCAGCAGCACCAGCAGCAGCAGCGGCAGCATCACCAGCAGCAACACCGGTGCCCTCTCGGAAGTCCTCGTGCATGACAGCAGCCTGAGCCAGGGCGGCGAGCACCGTCTGTTCTGCGAGGCCGATGCGCATCTTGCCCTGCAGCAGGCGCACTATGAACTGTGGCTCCTGCTGCCGCGCCGACACCAGCAGCTGCTTTATCCGCGCCCGCTTCTTCTCCACACTCTGACTGCCTGACTCCTGAGGGAGGGAAGTTAGGGGGTGGTAGAGGCAGGGAAGGCAGCGCACACAGACACGGTCACACAGAAGGAGACGTATGGGCCGGAGGCGTTGGGGGAATGCGGGGGTGATAAACCGTAAGGTTCACTCACCACGAGTAGCCAGATTTACTCACCTTGGCGATGAATCGGAAGGCTTCAAAGACCTTGTGGCACGTGAGTGGCGCCGGCTGCATCATCATGCGCTGCGTGGTGCGGCTGGCCTTCGCCACCAGCCCCAGGTCGCCACACTCCTGCAGAAACAAGTAGGATGAAAAAAAAAAAAAAAAAACCTAGGGATTGAAAATCTCCGACTACAAGGCTCAAAGGTTTGAATGTCAAGGTACACAGGGAGCTGTGACATCTCGAAAGTTCCGTTACGTATTAAGGATAAAGCCATGTAAGAGGCATGACGGCAATGTGGCTGCACTACTGTGACACAACCATGCTTCTATCCATGAACCAGCACATTTCTTACAGTCCCTCTCTCCACCCCCTTGCACCACAGTTCATTCATTCCCATCTCACATAACGTCTACGCCGATTCCACCACCACCTCTTACCTCTTCACGGCCTCAGCCAGAGAGCACGTACGATCTCTGGCCTCTTGCTTGCATCACATTTCACGCAGTCCCGTCTCACTTTCCTTATGCTCCGACTTAACCACTGCCTCTTTCCTCCCCGTCACCTCGGCCAGAGCGCAACAAACAGTGGCGTCACCAGTTCATTCGTTCTCATCGTACCAACCTTGCACTCTGATTTCACCACCGCCTCTTTCCTTCTAATCACCTCAGCCAGAGCATGGCATGGATGATAGTCACATCGCCGAACCCCTCCATAAATCTGAGACGCTTTTGAGAATTCTCAAAAGCCCGAACGCCTCCCCCGGCTCTTGCTTGCATCATACTTCATTCATTCAATCCCAACTCACGTACCTTAGGGCGTGGAAGATCCCTACGAACATGTGTTTGGTTGCTCCTGTGGTCCAACATGTGTTTGGTTGCTCCTGTGGTCGAACATGTGTTTGGTTGCTCCTGAGGTCGAACATCTCGCCTTGTCAATGGCTTGCGACATCTTTTGCCGGGTAACACAGGAAACCCCACATTGCAAATCAGAGAGGCTTTAACGTTTCGGAAGGGGCCTTGGTCGCTCTCAAGCGAATAGCTCTGAGTTTGTCAATCACTCGGAGCAAATTGGATTGCACCACATCACCCACGACAACACCTGGTTTCATGTCGCGTGATTCTTCTTACGTCGCCAATCTTGTCTTTTCCTCGTGGACCCAAAAACGTGGGGCAACAAGGGGGCACGGGCTCTGAAACGCTTTTGAGTCGACTCAAAAGTAAAAACGTGGGGCAACAAGGGGGCACGGGCTCTGAAACGTGAGTGCTTGTAGCAATTTTCGTCATTCTATTAGCGATGCTTATTGGCGAGAGTCGCAACCTGTGTTACTGTCGCAACTGCGCGACCAATGCCTTGTTCACAGGGATCTTCCACGCTCTTATACTTCGACTTAACCACCGCCTCCTTCCTCCCAGTCGCCTTAGCCAGAGCACGGATGATGGTCACATCGCCAACCCCCAGCCCCTTGTAGCACAACAGTTTGGCTGTTCTCATCGTACCTTCCTTTTACTCTGGATTTGATCGCGTACCTTGTACTCCGACTTAACCACCGCCTCCTTCCTCCCGGTCGCCTCAGCCAGAGCGCGGATGATGGTCGCATCGCCAATCCCCAGCTCCACGCCCTCGTGAGGTGGCGCAACGCGATTGGCCGCCAGGTACACGATGGGCAGCAGGTCGTCTGGTGACGTGGCCATGACTGTGCGGAACACGTTGCACATGATCTCCGTGATCGCCAACCGTCCAGATTCGTTGGATATTCCTGGCACACGCAGGCAGGTTGGAGGTGTATTGTTGTAGAATCACAAAATACGCTGATTACTGTGCAGAGCATGTTGCACACCATGTCCAGATTCGTTGAATAATCCTCGTAATTCGTACATACAGCGGCGGATAGAGGAGCATGGAAGTCGACAGGTGAGTCAAGAAAAGAGGCTCAACCCACCACGCTAAACCTATAGCCTTTCTGTCCTCACACCATTTCAACCCAAAACCCATACCCTGATTTCCACAACAATGTATGACCCATCACCCTCATTGTTCACCGTGCATAGACTCTACACTTACGTGCCCACAGCCCAGCACGCACAGCCCACCACGCACAGCCCACCACGCACAGCCCACCACGCACAGCCCACCATGCACAGCCCACCACGCACAGCCCACCACGCACAGCCCACCACGCACAGCCCACCACGCACAGCCCAGCACGCACAGCCCAGCACGCAGAGCCCACCCACGCACAGCCCACCACGCACAGCCCACCACGCACAGCCCACCACGCACAGCCCACCACGCACAGCCCACCACGCACAGCCCACCACGCACAGCCCACCACGCACAGCCCACCACGCACAGCCCACCACGCACAGCCCACCACGCACAGCCCACCACGCACAGCCCACCACGCACAGCCCACCACGCACAGCCCACCACGCACAGCCCACCACGCACAGCCCACCACGCACAGCCCAGCACGCACAGCCCAGCACGCACAGCCCACCACGCACAGCCCAGCACGCACAGCCCACCACGCACAGCCCAGCACGCACAGCCCACCACGCACAGCCCACCACGCACAGCCCACCACGCACAGCCCACCACGCACAGCCCACCACGCACAGCCCAGCACGCACAGCCCAGCACGCACAGCCCAGCACGCACAGCCCAGCACGCACAGCCCAGCACGCACAGCCCAGCACGCACAGCCCAGCACGCACAGCCCAGCACGCACAGCCCAGCACGCACAGCCCAGCACGCACAGCCCAGCACGCACAGCCCAGCACGCACAGCCCAGCACGCACAGCCCACCACGCACAGCCCACCACGCACAGCCCAGCACGCACAGCCCACCACGCACAGCCCAGCACGCACAGCCCACCACGCACAGCCCACCATGCACAGCCCACCACGCACAGCCCACCACGCACAGCCCACCACGCACAGCCCACCACGCACAGCCCAGCACGCACAGCCCACCACGCACAGCCCAGCACGCACAGCCCACCACGCACAGCCCACCACGCACAGCCCACCACGCACAGCCCACCACGCACAGCCCACCACGCACAGCCCACCACGCACAGCCCACCACGCACAGCCCACCACGCACAGCCCACCACGCACAGCCCAGCACGCACAGCCCACCACGCACAGCCCAGCACGCACAGCCCACCACGCACAGCCCACCACGCACAGCCCACCACGCAGAGCCCACCACGCACAGCCCACCACGCACAGCCCACCATGCACAGCCCACCACGCACAGCCCAGCACGCACAGCCCAGCACGCACAGCCCACCACGCACAGCCCACCACGCACAGCCCAGCACGCACAGCCCACCACGCACAGCCCACCACGCACAGCCCACCACGCACAGCCCACCACGCACAGCCCACCACGCACAGCCCACCACGCACAGCCCACCACGCACAGCCCACCACGCACAGCCCACCACGCACAGCCCACCACGCACAGCCCACCACGCACAGCCCACCACGCACAGCCCACCACGCACAGCCCACCACGCACAGCCCAGCACGCACAGCCCAGCACGCACAGCCCACCACGCACAGCCCACCACGCACAGCCCACCACGCACAGCCCACCACGCACAGCCCACCACGCACAGCCCACCACGCACAGCCCACCACGCACAGCCCACCACGCACAGCCCACCACGCACAGCCCAGCACGCACAGCCCAGCACGCACAGCCCAGCACGCACAGCCCACGCACAGCCCACCACGCACAGCCCACCACGCACAGCCCACCACGCACAGCCCAGCACGCACAGCCCAGCACGCACAGCCCAGCACGCACAGCCCACCACGCACAGCCCACCACGCACAGCCCACCACGCACAGCCCACCACGCACAGCCCACCACGCACAGCCCAGCACGCACAGCCCAGCACGCACAGCCCAGCACGCACAGCCCAGCACGCACAGCCCAGCACGCACAGCCCAGCACGCACAGCCCAGCACGCACAGCCCAGCACGCACAGCCCAGCACGCACAGCCCACCACGCACAGCCCACCACGCACAGCCCAGCACGCACAGCCCACCACGCACAGCCCACCACGCACAGCCCACCACGCACAGCCCACCACGCACAGCCCACCACGCACAGCCCACCACGCACAGCCCACCACGCACAGCCCACCACGCACAGCCCACCACGCACAGCCCACCACGCACAGCCCACCACGCACAGCCCACCACGCACAGCACGCACAGCCCAGCACGCACAGCCCAGCACGCACAGCCCACCACGCACAGCCCAGCACGCACAGCCCACCACGCACAGCCCACCACGCACAGCCCACCACGCACAGCCCACCACGCACAGCCCACCACGCACAGCCCACCACGCACAGCCCACCACGCACAGCCCACCACGCACAGCCCACCACGCACAGCCCACCACGCACAGCCCACCACGCACAGCCCAGCACGCACAGCCCAGCCAAACAGCCCACCACGCACAGCCCACCACGCACAGCCCACCACGCACAGCCCACCACGCACAGCCCACCACGCACTGCCCACCACGCACAGCCCACCACGCACAGCCCACCACGCACAGCCCACCACGCACAGCCCACCACGCACAGCCCACCACGCACAGCCCACCACGCACAGCCCACCACGCACAGCCCACCACGCACAGCCCACCACGCACAGCCCAGCACGCACAGCCCAGCACGCACAGCCACCACGCACAGCCCACCACGCACAGCCCAGCACGCACAGCCCACCACGCACAGCCCACCACGCACAGCCCACCACGCACAGCCCACCACGCACAGCCCAGCACGCACAGCCCAGCACGCACAGCTCACCACGCACAGCCCACCACGCACAGCCCACCACGCACAGCCCACCACGCACAGCCCAGCACGCACAGCCCACCACGCACAGCCCACCACGCACAGCCCACCACGCACAGCCCACCACGCACAGCCCACCACGCACAGCCCAGCACGCACAGCCCACCACGCACAGCCCACCACGCACAGCCCACCACGCACAGCCCACCACGCACAGCCCACCACGCACAGCCCACCACGCACAGCCCACCACGCACAGCCCACCACGCACAGCCCACCACGCACAGCCCACCACGCACAGCCCAGCACGCACAGCCCACCACGCACAGCCCACCACGCACAGCCCACCACGCACAGCCCACCACGCACAGCCCACCACGCACAGCCCACCACCCAGCACGCACAGCCCAGCACGCACAGCCCACCACGCACAGCCCACCACGCACAGCCCACCACGCACAGCCCACCACGCACAGCCCACCACGCACAGCCCACCACGCACAGCCCACCACGCACAGCCCACCACACACAGCCCAGCACGCACAGCCCAGCACGCACAGCCCACCACGCACAGCCCAGCACGCACAGCCCAGCACGCACAGCCCAGCACGCACAGCCCAGCACGCACAGCCCACCACGCACAGCCCAGCACGCACAGCCCAGCACGCACAGCCCAGCACGCACAGCCCACCACGCACAGCCCACCACGCACAGCCCACCACGCACAGCCCACCACGCACAGCCCACCACGCACAGCCCACCACGCACAGCCCACCACGCACAGCCCAGCACGCACAGCCCAGCACGCACAGCCCACCACGCACAGCCCACCACGCACAGCCCAGCACGCACAGCCCACCACGCACAGCCCACCACGCACAGCCCACCACGCACAGCCCACCACGCACAGCCCAGCACGCACAGCCCAGCACGCACAGCCCAGCACGCACAGCCCAGCACGCACAGCCCACCACGCACAGCCCACCACGCACAGCCCACCACGCACAGCCCACCACGCACAGCCCACCACGCACAGCCCACCACGCACAGCCCACCACGCACAGCCCAAAGCCCAAACCAACGTACTGTCAAGCGCCTGGGCGAGGTAGAGGAAGGGCACCCGCTCGCCGCTCTTCCAAGTGGCAGCTGCCACCGGATCATACTGCACCAGCTTCGCTGCCAGCGCCACCAACCCATCGCCTGCTCCTCCTCCTCCTGCGCCTCCTGCCCCGGCCCCTTTTCCCCTGTTTTTTCTCTTGGCTTTCGTTTCCGTGCGTCCCTTAGCTTGCTTTAGGGCGTCAAAGGCGGATTTTGCTTCCTCCGCTCCTGCGGCTGCGTCGACAGGTGGCTCTGCCAGGTCACTGCTGGCACTGTCCATGTCACTGTCCACGTCAGCACCGTCACTGGTGCTGCTGCTACTGGCGGATAATGCCGCACCCTTGCTGCCACTACTGCCGCTGCTGTCACTGCTGCTGCTGCTGCTGCTTCTGCTGCTGGTCCTGCGACGAGTGCTCTTTTTCTTCCCTCCCTCAGCTGCTAACTCAGCCGTGGCCACAGCAGCAGCAGCAGGTGCGTCAGTTGCTGCTTTACTAGCTGTATCTGCTGCTTTACTAGCTGTATCTGCTGCTTTCTTCCTTCCTCTGGCACCAGGTGGCGACTTCGGTGTGACGGCAGGAGTGGAAGCCCCTTTACCAGCCGCAGCAGCAGCAGCAGCGACAGCAGACGCAGAAGCTTTGGCAGCGGAAGCAGAAGCAGCAGCAGCAACGGTGGCGGCGGCAGCTGCAGCAGCGGATTCCTTCCCCTTATCGCCTCCTTCAACCCCGATACTCCCCGTCTCATGCCTTGCCTTCTTTGCACCTTCTCCCACCTCCCCTGTCCCTCCACCCACCGCCACAATCTCTTCTCTTTCACCTGCCCCTTCCTCTCTTCCTTTCCCCGCTCCCCGCGCCCCCTCCCCAACCTTCCTAAGCCGCTTCAACCGCCTTGCGCCAGCTCCGCCAGTCACTGCTTCCCCTGCTCCTCCTCCTGCGCTTCCCCCTCCGCCTTCCCTTCCCCCTACTGCTTCCGCGTCCGCCATCTCTTCCCCCCAAGCTTCCTCCGCCACTGCCTCCTCAGCGCGGGTGTCTTCTTTCCCTGCAGATGCCACTGCTCCATCCCCGTTTTCAACAGCCCCTTTAGCAGTCTGTGTGGGTACTGGAGAATCTGCTGCTGCTGCTGCTGCTGACTCTAAAGGCTCTTTCTTCTTCAATGCCGTCTCCTTCAACTCCTCGCTTGCTTTATCCACTGCACTGGGATTCGGACCCTCGACCTCGGATTTACCTCCACCACCACCACCCCCAACAGCAGCAGCCTTCCCTTTTGCACCGAAAAACGAGGAGATGGACCTCTGGCCGCCCCCAGGTAAAGCCTTCCCCGCGGTTCCTGATTGGTCCTTGCCTCCAAAGAACGAGGCAATGGACCGTTGACCGCGGCCGTCAGCAGCAGCGGAAACGCCAGGCTTCTTGGCACCGCTACCTCCCCGACCTGACTTCATCGTAGCTGGCAGCTGACTGCCGGTTAGCCGTTTGTTGACGGCTAGCTGGTGATTATCGACTGGTGAGTGGTGAGCAGCTGGAGGCTTGCGAACTGAAGGGAGTCGGCGGACGGCTGGCAATCCCTGGAGAGGTGCTGCGCGGTGGAGAGCTGTGGCTCCTTCAGGTCGGATGAGACCCGAACGAGTAACTGCGACGACGGTCCGGCGGGGATGACAGCTGAGATGCACGGCGTTGGCGCGCAACGTGGGAAGCCGGGTAAAACTTACGCAGCAGCTGCGGAAGTTAAGCGCTAAGCTCATGGAGAACCACGCCCTGACGGCACGCCCGGAAGTCCTGAGACCCCTGGGACCTCACGTTCGTGGGAAGGTAAGCGCTAAGCTCTTGGATAAACACGCCCTGACGGCGGATAACGACCCCTGAGAACACCTTGCAGCGCCTGAAGACAGACAAATCAAGGTGGACAGATCGGTTGAAGTAGGTTCACCAGTGATGCTACGATCCACCGCTGAGTTGCTTACTAACGTAGACTCATCCGCTGCTTGCTCTTGAGACGATTCATCAGTGATCTATTCACTAGCAAAATATACTGTTTGCGCAGCCTAATGCGTGCAGCTCTTCGAACGAACGAAAGCAATGTGCTTGGACGAGAGAACTGCAAGAGAACTGCGTCAGAGTCTCAGAATGCTGTTGAGAGTGGTAAGTCCAATGGTGAGGTGGATTGGGGAGGAATTGAGATAGAAGCAAGCACCTTGATTTCTCCGAGTTGAGTCTGTCTGACGCATTTAGTTTTCGCGCCAAAGCCCAAGGCGCGAACTCATCCTGTGCTACAGTAGGTTATGCTGTACCCTTCTGCTATTTCGATAGTAGCACACAGTAAAATATTACATCTCAGGTCCGTATAATTTTATGGAACTGTAGAACATTACAACAAATGCACAATTTGTAGTTCCAACACCGGATACACCTGCGGCTTGGGAGATTCCGTTCCATGCATATGGTGTGGGAGCAGTCAATAGAGACTGTCGCCGGCGAGCCGCATTGCCATGACTCGCTAGGCTACCGACGACGTTTGCTCTAGGTTTGCTGAACAATGTGACCTCGCTTTCGCCGGTGACGCGGATCACAAATATCCCGCCAAATTTGTACCAGTGGATTAGATCGAACGAGAGTTTCTGACAATGCCGCGGTCAGTTGCCACGTCAGCTCCGCGCTTTCCCGCATTTCTCTCCCGCCCTCCCCTCCCGCTCATCATCGGCGCGCTTTTCGCGCTGCTGCTCCTAGGGTTGTTCCTCTCTTCGCCGCCCACGCCGTCGCTACCGACAAGCGTTCCCGCCCATGACAGGCTGGCGAACTTCCACCCTGTCAGCGAGGTAAATGGTGGGACCGCGTAGGGGAAAGAGTACACAAGGACAGTAAGATGAGCTCGCAACAACCCCATTGTTGATGGTGGTGGTGAACAACCATCAGGTTCAGGATGTGACTGGAGGTGGTGATGGTGATGGTGGTGACAACAGTCACACCCCACCACAACCATCACCGGATCCGCCAACCCATCACCACCACCCCAGTCACACTCACTCCCGCCTCTGAGCTCCCTCCAGGTCCAGGCCCATTCCCTCATTCCCGGGAGTTTTTGAGAATTCTCAAACACTCACTCCCGCCTCTGAGCTCCCTCCAGGTCCAGGCCCATTCCCTCATTCCCGGGAGTTTTTGAGAATTCTCAAACACTCACTCCCGCCTCTGAGCTCCCTCCAGGTCCAGGCCCATTCCCTCATTCCCCCCTTAGCACCCACCCCTGCTCTCTACAAACCGCATCCCTCCCCTGCTTCTCACTCCCACCACGGCCAATTCCCCTCCCTCCTGGTTCGGTGGGCTATCAACAGGTGCGGCGATGTGACAGAGAAGAAATCCGGCCCGGCCCTCTCCCCCGTCCCCTCCCTTGCACCCGCCTTCTTCCCACGACTCACCTCATTCCAACCATTCCCACCGCTGCCCATTCCACCCGCCTTTCTTCTCTCTCCCCTCCAGGTGCGGTGGGCCATCATCGGGTGTGGCGATGTGACAGAGAAGAAGTCCGGCCCGGCGCTCGCCCTCATCCCGTCGTCTCGCCTCGTGGCTGTCATGCGCCGCAACGCCACCCTGGCTCAGGACTACGCCCAGCGCCACCACGTGCCCAGGTGGGGAATAGTAGGTGCTCTCTTGCACTCCTGTAGGTGGGTGCAGGTGGGGGTGGGGGTGGGCAGGTGGGCAGGTGGGCAGGTGGGGGTTGGCGCTCGCCCTCATCCCCTCGTCTCACCTCGTGGCTGTCATGCGCCGCAACGCCACCCTGGCTCAGGACTACGCGCAGCGCCACCACGTGCCCAGGTGGGGGCGGGCAAGGGGTGGGCGGGCAAGAGGGGGGGGTTGCAGCGCTCCAACCGATTTGGCAACGCTGCAGCGCCGCTTACTCTCGGTCGGCATTGCTCTGGCTGAATGGGGTTCATTTGTGCCTGGCCGCTTGCACATGGCAGGTGGTCAACGAACGCAGAGGAGACAATCAACGACGCCGATGTGAACGCTGTGTACATCGCCACTCCCCACCGATACCACAAGCAGTGAGTCGGCAGCAGCATGTGCTGAGTCGGCAGAATGCTGAGTCGGCAGAATGTGCTGAGTCGGCAGAATGTGCTGAGTCGGCAGAATGTGCTGAGTCAGCAAGTAATGAAAACACAAACCTCATGCACCAACCTCATGCACCAACCTCGGGCTATTTCTCGCATTCTTCCCTGCCGTGACTTGCCATACATTTCGCCTACTCTGTGCCTGCCACGTGGCATGGATGCAGATATGCCATCATGGCAGCGCGGGCAGGGAAGCCAGCCTACGTGGAGAAGCCAATGGGAATGAGCCACGTGGACAGCTCTGACATCCTCGCTGCCTTCCAGCGCGCCAAGCTGCCTCTCTTTGTCGCCTACTACCGCCGCGCCCTGCCCAACTTCCTCAGGGTGTGTGCTTAGAGTGTATCAACTGTATGGAGAACTCCTTAGGGTGTGACTAGAGCATGCCCCGATTCATTCACTGCGCACTGCCAAGCTGCCTCTCTTTGTCGCCTACTACCGCCGCACCCTGCCCAACTTCCTCAGGGTGTGTGCTTAGAGTGTATCCACTGTATGGAGAACTCCTTAGGGTGTGGCTAGAGCATGCCCCGATTCATTCACTGCGCACTGCCAAGCTGCCTCTCTTTGTCGCCTACTACCGCCGCGCCCTGCCCAACTTCCTCAGGGTGTGTGCTTAGAGTGTATCAACTGTATGGAGAACTCCTTAGGGTGTGACTAGAGCATGCCCCGATTCATTCACTGCGCACTGCCAAGCTGCCTCTCTTTGTTGCCTACTACCGCCGCGCCCTGCCCAACTTCCTCAGGGTGTGTCCCAAATCCGCCCTGACTGAAATGCGCCCTCTTTGTGCCTGACTGACATACGCCCCAAGTATATTACGAATAGAGCCGCCCTGTTTTTGTTACCCTGAGCGAATCACAGACACACCTTACCACCGCCGCGCGCTGCCCAACTTCCTTAGCGTGTGCTTGTTGGATTCCGGTGCCATAGGGGACATCCCGTCCGTGCAGGTGGTATACCACCGGCCACCCAACAAGGCCCACCCTCCCAACCCACCCAACCCTGCCACCCCCCTCTCTGCAGATCAAGGCCCTATTGGAATCTGGGGCCATAGGGGACGTCCTGTCCGTGCAGGTGGTATACCACCGGCCACCCAACAAGTACGACTACCAGTGGGCACTCAGCGGAGTCCCGAGTCAGAAGGAGCTGCAGACGATGCTGCAGCAACAGCAGCAGGAGAGAAGGGGAGGGAACGAGGAGGGGAGCGGAGCAAGGGAGCAACAGCAGAGGCAGTACCCGTACCGCCCGTTACCCCAGCACCACCCAGCAGGGGCGTCTCTGCACAACGCGACTCTCAAGTGGCGTGTGGACCCCCTGGTGGGCGGGCTTGGTGGGTACTTTCGGGACAAGGGCAGCCACCAGCTCGACCTGCTCGACTTCTGGTTCGGCCCTGTGGTGAGTGCGTGTGAGGAGGGGGAGTTGGGTGAGTGCGCCTTCGAGTCGACTCAAAACCCCTTCAGGGGCGTCTCTGCGCAACGCCTCTCTCAAGTGGCGTGTGGATCTGCTGGTGGGGGTCCTGGGTGGGTACTTTCGCGACAAGGGCAGCCACCAGCAGGACCTGCTCGACTTGTGGTTCGGGCCCGTGGTGAGTGCGTTTTGAGTCGACTCTAGACCCGGCAGGGGCGTCTCTACATAACGCCTCTCTCAAGTGGCATGTGGACCCCCTGGTGGGCGGGCTGGGAGGGCAGCCACCAGCTGGACCTCCTGGACGTCTCGTTCGGCCTCGTGGTGAGTGAGTCTGGGAATGGTGAATAGAACGGAATTACCCACTATTAGCCTGGAGTAACCTCCCCTTACAACCTGTGAATCACCCTTTCGTGTTGAAGCACGTGTTTCTTTCTTGCTTTCTTTCTTGCTTTCTTTCTTTCTTTCTTGCGTTCTTTCTTGCTTTCTTTCTTTCTTTCTTTCTTTCTTGCTTTCTTCCTTGCTTTCTTTCTTTCTTTCTTTCTTTCTTTCTTTCTTTCTTTCTTTCTTTTTCTAGAAAGCCACATGTCATTCAAAGTCTCCCCTCCCTTTCCTGGCTCCTGTACAGGTGGCAGTCTCTGGTTGGTCCACCAATCTTGCTGGCATGTATCCATCCCCTGATACTGTCACGGCCCACTTCCGATTCGCCAACGGAATTGTTGGCACGGGCAGCTGGAATTTCGCAGCGGGCAAATCCAGCCAGCAGGAGTACGGCGAGATCACGGGCAGCTCGGGCAGAATAAAGTTCCAGTTTTTCCTGTCCAATAAGGTGGAGCTTTGGAACGACACGGGGCACTATGAGTGGGATGACCCGAGCCCAGAGCACGTGCAACAGCCGTTGCTGGCAACAGTAGTGTCAGCTCTTAGAGGTCAGGGGGAGTGCCCGAGTTTGGGAGAGAGTGCAATCCGAACGAGCTTCATCTTGGATAGAATTGTGAACGGGGAAAAGTGGCCGTGATAATGTATGGTTGCTGTGGATGCTGGATCCGCCGATTTTTCAACATTGTCCATACTTTTGGGGAGTGAGGGAGAGGAGGGAGGGGGGGGGGGGGGGGGGGGGGGGGGGGGGGGGGGCTGTGGTGGCTGGATTGGGCCATCAATTTGGGGAGGTGAGCGTTGGGTTAGCGGAAGGAATGGAGAAGGGGGGTAGGGGTAGAAGGTTTTAATAATCTTCGGGCATCAACGAGAGCATCAGTGGTTCACCCATAGCCTTATACATTATTGCAATCTCCCAGATGTACTATAACTCAAGCAACCCAACAGGAAGCTTGAAGGAATCTTCATACTCATGGGAAAGTTAGAAGCACCACAGGCATTTATATGGTTACTGACAAAGGTCAACTTTGGCAGCTGACTTGTATGACGAGTAAAACAAGTATTATTTCGTGACCTTTTGTCATGCTCCCAAATAGGAAGCGCTCAAGTTAGTTCACCATTCTTTGTGCAGCTGGCCTCCCACCCAACTTTGCAATTCAGGTTTCACACTTCAAGAGCAAAGCAACTACCGTATGACTCAACAAGGGTGTATATTGCATATCCCTTCGTTATACGGTAGGTACTGTTTTCGTTCATCGCATTCTTCCACTACCTCGTTATTGTAAAAAAACAAGAGCCGAGGCGCTTGTGATGTTTGTTTTGACAACTCTTTCACACTTCAGCTTCCTTGAGGCGGTGTGCTGTGTCTGCTGTCATCTCGCGTGCCATCCTTGTGGTGCGCTGTCACATTGCATGGTCGGAAACCTTGCAACTGTAGGCAGGCGGCTTCTTGAATCTAGCGCGCAATGAGTCGTCGTGTAGTGTTCTTTCAACAGTTTCCAACACGAGGCAGCCTAACAATTTTTGGGGGCTCGTTGTTTCTTCTTTCTTGTCAGTGCACAGTTCGCTCCGGTGTCGCAAAATTTGTTCTACTTTTTTTTTTTTTTTTTTTTTTTTTGTAAGGGCGTGTCCGAAGTGAAACATCGATGGATGTCGCTGGATGTCGGTAAATGTCATCCCTCGGATCGACGGTTCCAAGCGTCAGGATTTACTGACATCCCCAAACGGATGTCGACGTTTCACTTCGGACACCCCCTAATCTTCTGCTTGACCCTCGGAAGCCGCTTTGGATGGGCCCTTCAAACTATCTTACACCTGAGAAAAGAGAACGAGAATGATTGGACTATGAAAGAGTTGGGTACAAGTACTAACCGTGATTGGGTTGTACCCCTTATGGGCTACCCCACTACAGCCTACACTAATGTATAAGCTATAATATTCTGACACACTCCCATAGGCGAAGTGGGGGAGAACAAGGGGTCACAAGACCAGTCAAGCAAAGTAAAGCAAAGCAAGCTCAGGGTGGATCACAAAATCACCACACATTCCGAGCACAAGTTCAAGGCCACAAGGCCAGTTCACATGCAGGATTATATATATATAAGGCTATACAAGCAAGAGCAGGTGTATATATATATGCAACAGTACAAACAAGGTCAAGGAGTGAGCAAGTGAGGCAAGGTAGGCACAAGACCCAGCTGAGTGCAGAAACGCTGATGATCACACGGCGGAAGTGCCTTGGTGAAAACATCAGCAGTGTTGGCCTCAGAGGCCACGTACGCAAGTCGCAACTGACCACGCTGCTGCAGCTCACGAGCAAGGAAGTAGCGGAGAGCAATGTGCTTCGTTCTATGCTCCAGTCTCTGCTCTCGACACAAGGCCAGCATGGCCTTGTTGTCTACGTACAGCACTGGAGGAGAACGAGGCAGCTCTCCTAGGTCAGTCAGCAGGTAGGTGAGCCAGCGAAGCTCCTGAGCAGCCATGGCTCCTTCGTAGATCTCAGCCTCACACCTGGAGCCGAGAACGGAAGACGAGCGAGTAGCCCTCCACGAAACAGAGCCGGAACCAAGGCTGAAGGTGTAACCCTGTGACGACCGCTGCGTAGCCTGGTCGTCAGCCTAAGAAGCGTCTGCGTGCCTAGTGAGGACCACTGGACTCTGCCCTCCAAGCACAAGCCCCATGCCCGACGTACAACACAAGTAGCGCAACATCCTCTTCGCTGCAGCCATGTGCTCCGGTCTGTGTCTCCCAGGAGCAACATAGCGTGCAAGAATGCTAAGAGGGTATGCAAGGTCAGGTCGTGTGCAGGTCATCAGGTACATGAGGCAGCCAACAAGCTCTGGGTACGGGCCACTCGACTCTACGGACTCATCCGAAGGCAGAGCTGAGAGCGAGTGGCGAGTAGGCAGAGGAGTGGCCTGAGGCGAGGAGTACGTGAAGCCGAAGCGCTGAAGGACCTGCTGCACCATGTCTGACTGACTCAGGGTAATGGTGCGGCGTGCTCTGTCCCGGGTGATCTGCGAGCCAAGGTAGCTGCGCAGTTCACCCAGGTCTGTGCACGTGTGTCTCTTCTGCAGCTCGGACTTCACGTGGGCGAGTCCAGCACTGTCAGCAGTGGCAAAGACCAAGTCGTCGACGTACACGAGGATGTAGAACGGCGGCAAAGAAGTGTCGGTGCGCAGAAACAGCGACCGGTCGGCAGTAGAAGGAGCAAACCCAAGAGCCGCAAGTGTAGTCCTCAGTGTGTCGTGCCACTCACGGGGCGCCTGGCGGAGACCGTAGACTGGCCGTCGGAGGCTCCACTGGGTGCCAGGGGGAAAAGACCCAGTGAAGCCAGGTGGGCGACGCAACCAAATCTCCTCGTGCACACTGCCCTGCAAGAAAGCAGTGCTGGAGTCAAGAGAGTGCAGCTCGTAGTCGCGGTGAGCAGCTATGTGCAGCAGTACCCGAAGAGTGGTCATCTTCGGGGTGGGAGAGAAGGTATGAAAGTAGTCAACTTCCTGCCGCTGACTGAAGCCACAAGCCACGTAACGTGCTTTGAAGACAAGCGGAGAACCCGGCGGCCGCTTCACCCTGAAAATCCACATGCCACTGACGATGTTCGCCCCAGGCGGGGGAACAGCGTCAACGTAGGTGCCTGTGGACTTCCAGGAAGCCATCTCTGCGTCCATAGCTGCCTGCCACTGAGAGGAGTAGGGACCCTCTATTGCCTCCACGTAAGAGCGCGGAGTCGGGATGTCAAGTGCATCCGGGTGTCCCTCAGGGGTAAGCAATACGGACAGGAGATGAGGTGAAGAAGCAGCCAGACACTGGAACTCCTCCTGCTTGTCCTCAAGGACGTCCGTGCCAAGGGCACACTCACCCCCGACGGACGGAGGACAGACAGACTCAGTGACAAGACTAGCAGCGTGGTCTAGACGACAGCGAGCAGCAAAGTCGACGAGCTCAGCAACTAGGGCAGACGCAGCAGTGGACTCAAAGGAGGGGTCAGTGACGACAGTAGCAAGGAGACGCGTAACCGTAGGACTGGCAGCACAAAGAGAGTACGACTTCGGGTCGGCAAGAGCAGGAAGAGAGGACTCAAAAGGAGAAGGCAAAGGGGCACGCAGAGGAGCAGTGGACGGACGTAGAGACATCCGGTGCGTGCCAGGGACAGGAGGAGGACGCTGACGCGAACCATGACCACTAGTGCGAGCAGGACGGGTAGGCGACGCAGGGCGAGATGCAGGCTCACGACGCTCAGCAAGACCTCCAGTAGGACCAGAGTAGGGAGAAGGAGCAGGTAGTGGGAAGGACGGCTGTAACTGTAACTGTGACGGGACAGGCTGTGGACACTTTAAGGGAGGAGGAGGACCAGTAGAAGGCGGGAGACCAAGAACCTGCTGAAGGAGCGGAACGAAGTACGGCCGAGGCCGCGCGGCGACTCCAGACACTGCAGGGACAGCACTAGCACCCCCAGCGGCAGCACCAGCGCCAGGAGCACCTCCAGCTCCAGTACCTCCAGCAGCACCACTAGCACCCCCAGCAGGACCGCCTCTAGGACCGACAGCAGTAGCCTCAGCGCCAACACCCTCAGGAGCTCCAACTCCAGTCATACCCGCAAGCCCAGCAGCTCTAGTACTCCCAGTACGAGAACCTACGGAACCCGCGGCACCATCACCCTCAGCAGCCGAAGAACCTCCAGCTCTAGAAGTACGCCTTCAGCGCCGGGCAAACCACTCGCGCACCTCCTGTGGAGAGAGGGGCTCCCGTCGAGACGAAGCACCCGGAGAACCTCTAGGCCCAGCACCGCCAAACGCCACACGAGCAGGCCCAACTCCCTCAGGCTCCGCACCCCCAGGCTCAGCACCTCCAGGCGTAGTACCCCCAAGCTCAGGACCACTAGGCGTAGCATCCCCAAGCTCAGCACCCCAAGGCTCAGCACCCCCACTCGCAGCACCCCCAGGCTCAGCACCCCCAGTAGTAGCACCTGCAGGCTCAGCACCCCCAGGCGTAGCACCCACACGCTGAGCACCCCCAGAGTCAGCACCCCCAGGCTCAGCACCCTCAGCAGCACCAGAGTCACCAATAACCTCGACAGGCTCGACTACGTCTACCTGGGACACACCTGAAGAGGCAGGACCCTGAGGGGGGAGGGGGTCTACCCGGGGAAGACTTGGTTCAAGGAAGAGCGGGGGGGGGGGGGGAGGGACGGAGTGCGGTAGGGGAAGAGGCGGTAGTAGGGGACCGACTCGTCAAACGTGACGTCCTGGGAGGACAGAGCACGGCAAGAGGTGGGGTGGTGAACTGCCACCCTGGCGCGTTAGGGGGGAAGCCAAGGAAGACGCAAGGAGCAGCACGAGGGGACAGCTTGTCCGCGGACAAGTCGCGAACAAACGCTCGAGATCCCCAGACACCGAACGTAGACGCATCGCCAACCTTCCCCGTCCACAACAAAGCTGGGGAGGTCTCCGGCATGGAGACCCTGGGGTGAAGGTTGATCTTATGCGCCACGTACCGAACCGCAAACGGCCACAGAAAATGGAGGGCAGCCGCATGCATCATGGACGTACGAGCGACATCCATGACCATGCCAATGTGGCGCTCAGCAATCCCATTTTGCTGTGGAGAGTGCGGAAGCGTGAAGGTCTGGCGGATGCCTCG